GACCAGATACTCTTAGTAGGACCACCTCCCTCTTCCTTCCTGGTATGAAATGGTTTCTTACCAATAGGTTTGAGAAAGCACTAATGCCCTTATGGTATCTTTCTGTCTGCCACAGAGGGGGAAAAACATTTGCAAATCAAGCCTGCCAAGCTTAAGCTTTTCACCAATTACCTAGGCTTTCCATCTACATCAATTAGATGCTTAACTTTGAAGTTGTTGCAGATTGTGTTTCCATTCCTCCTAAGATTCTGGCTTCATTGTTGTGGATTAAAACAGGAAAATATGGGTAAAATGTCTCCACCTGTGCTGTCTATTCTGGTCAGTATAAGAAATCTCATTGACGGGTAAGGGGAAAAAACAATGTTCTTTGAAGAGTGATGAATAATTAAACAATTAAGTTAAGCTTCTTAATAAGCTTCCCACCCTAGTGTGTTCTTTTCTTACAGTTGCTAGGCACTGCACTGTACCAACTGTATGTGAGGTGGAATTCAGTCTCTGTTTTTAGCAGTGTTGAGATGTGTTCTGCTGTCAAAGCAGGATTGGGACAGAGTTGGGGTTGACTGGGAAGTCACAAGACAGAATCTTCTCTGTGGGGATCTTCCTGGATCAGGCATTTCTGTATGGCAAGGCTGCCTGGAGGATGGGGAAAAGAGAAAGCTCTTTTCTGGCCCTGGGGCCGTGGCTTTCACTGTAAGACTAGAAGCCCATTTTTACTTTGGATGCCAGCCCAATTGGTTCCCCTCTCTATAAATGTTGGCTTTTGCTGATGGAGCTAAACAGCCAGGCCATTGTGTGTGTCAGGGCCACTGGAGAAAATGCCTCAGTGGTGTTTTATATAGTGTGTCACTGTGTTCCCTTTTTGGGTTGTCTTTCCCTCCTCCTCCTCCTGCAGAGACTCAGTTGTCATGGCAATCATGTCATGGGGACTGCTGCTTTTCTATCCTGCCAACACAAGAGAGGCTCACATGCAGGCTACCAGTGTAGCTGGCTCCTTGTTTCCACATAGGGTCATCTGGGTGGTGCCCTACTGACACAGTAGAGAGCACACGTTTGAGATTCCAGACATGACATGTTCCAAAGGCACCTTTTGGGCTTAGTTAGATGCAACTTGTGCCCATCTTTTCATAAAAAAAGTGTTATGCCTGGTGCTCCAGGTATTTGGCCTGATCCCTAGGAAACAAATGCTCAGCATGTGTTTTGCAAATAGCATTTCCCTGCAAAAATGTTCAGAGGTGGGGAGAAAAATCTTTTTTTCAATTAAAACTTTCCAAAACATCCCTTCCCATGACCATGCTGTTTGGAGTATTCAAGAAGGAGTAGTTAAAAAAATTGACATTTCCGATCACTGAAGAGATTTCCATTCTCCATCTTAGCTGCCCCATCTAGCAAAATAATCTATTGGTGGAAGGATCAAAATGAAATGTTCTCAATGCATCGTTAACACTCTCTCCCCTGCTACTAGTGAAGTGAAAATAAAACTTTAAAAACAATAAAGTCAGAGGAAGCTGTTAACACCAGAAATTTCAAGAGAGGATGCATCACTTGGTGATTTGGGTGTGAAACTGTCATAAAAGAATTGGCAGCATAGAAGTTAGGTTTAGGACTGCCAGATTTCTGCTGCGGTGAAACAGACAGTGCTTCCGTTTTACAGTCATGGGAGATGGTGATGGCATTTTGTTTTTGTGCAAAGTTTCTTAAAGATGTGCTAATGATTGCCAGAATACACAGAATGATTGAGGAATGTGAAATTGGTGGTGCCAGCCTCATAGTGGTGTACCACACTTCAGGTAGTGAAATGATATCTGGTATTATTTGCATATGTTCATCAAAGAAGCTGATTCCTTCAGTCCTAGTTGTCAGGTGCCTGCTTTTGTTAAATAAAGGATTGACTAGGAAGTACTTGGGTATAGATTTTCACAGGTAAAAAGACCAGATAAAAGGTAAAGGTTCCCGTTGACAATTTGTCCGGTTGTGTCCAACTCTAAGCGGTGATGCTTATCTCCGTTTCCAACCCATAGAGCTAGCGTTTGTCTGCAGGCAATCCTCTGTGGTCACGTGGCCAGCGTGACTAGACACTGAATGCCGTTTACCTTCCCACCAAGGTGGTACCTGTTTATCTACTCGCATTTTTGCATTTTGCATGCTTTCAAACCACTAGGTTGGCGGGAGCTGGGACAAGCACAGAGGCTTCTGTGGTTTAACCCGCAGTGCTCAGTGCCAATCTTTCTTAGTGCTCCTTCACCTTAAGGGAAACATTTTGGAGAAGTTCTGTAGCTACAAGATACCATGCAGATTTTACATATAGATCATTGCAGATTTACTCTCTAGCATTTTCAGATAAGATTGAGAAAGTCCCTGTCTGAATGCCTACAGAGAAGCTTTAGAGAATACTAAACAAGTATTTAGAGAACACTGAACAAGGCAGGCTGATAAACTATTGAGATCATCTTCTACTTACTTTCTGATCTGTTCTAGATTCCACCCCACCCTCAAATCTTTATTACCATTAATGAGCAGATTTTGACATCTTCACCAAAGTTAGGGCTTGAACTAGATGAGATTAGCAGAGCTCCTTAACTGTTTGTACTAGCACAGCTTTTCTCATTTCCTGTATCTTACAAATTAGCTTGCTTTGTTTTGTGATTGGTCCCAGGGGAGTGAGCATGGGCTCCTTCTGCAAGGGAATGCACAGGTACAGAGCTCTGAAGAATCATCTTGGAGGAGGAATAACTGCAGCAGCTTCCAGTGTGAAGATACTGCTTCCATCTTGTTTGTTCTACATACAGCCCTATGCATACACATTACAGTACTGAGATTTGGTGAGGCTTTGAAAGCTGTCCTCCATTTCCATGTGGCTGATGCTGCTTCTGTGATGAGATAATGGCAGATGGTTCCACCACGTGGATGTTTAAACAAGTCCTGACGTGACACCCCCGCCCACCCCTGCTTTTCTAATACTCCTGGCCAACATGCAGCAAGGCTAAGCCTCCCTTAGTCCATTGGTGAAGTCCTAGTTCCTATAGTCTTCCTGAGAGGAAGTGGGGGTGGGGTGCAAATAAGGCAGCAGCTTGCCTGGAGGGCTTGAATGCAGCGAGCCCTCAATGGGTCTTTTCTAATGCGGATTTGTGAGGTCCTTGTATTAGATGAATAAAAACCTTTGTGCCTGTGGCACTTCTATGCTCCTCAGGCTATGACATAACAGCTTAGAAGTGTGACACCTGCCAGGTCATGTTAGTGCTATTACCAGTCACCTTTTGACTCATTAAGCCTGGGTTATGTGAAGCAATAGCTTAGCTACTTCCATCTCTCCCAAAGCTGTCACTTCTTCAAGGTGCTTGTGGTATATGTATGTATGTGTGTGTTGGGGTAGGAATAGGGAGTTGTAAGACATCCTGCTGAGATTAGTCGGGAACAGAGAGTTGTAAGACATCCTGCTGAGATTAGTCTGGTCCTACTGGGTGTGTTCCCTGCTCCCACCCTCACCAATGTATGAACCCTTTGCAGTTTTTTGTCATTAACCAGCGGGAGAGGTTGCCCAGCAAAGAAATGAGTCCAGCAACAGGAACTCCATCTTGATGTTCGCAAGACCCCAGTCCAAAGAAGAATATTAAAGTATGACAAGTATTGTCGTCTTAAAGTATTGTGGATCTTTTAATGAAATTTCCCCTCTTTTGTGTCAGTGTATCCCCTCTGCCAAATCTGATATGGATTTTTAAGTCCCCCAGCCTTTTACTTGCCCAATGTCCATGCATGCAGTTACATATCTGTCAGTTTAGAAGAGCTGGCCATATTTAGTTCATGAACATGTTAGTCTTTAAGGTGCCACAAAATTTTTTAAAAAGTAAAAAAAAAAACAGTGACTACTTTGTTATCTTGGTGTATGTTTTAGCTATTCCACATTATTATTTATTTAATATTTGCTTAACAATATACCGCTCCCATTAGTGCCGCAGCACTACCCTGGGCAGTTCACAGTAAAATATGCAATACAGTTAAAATAGGTAGTATAATAAAAACCAAAAAAGAGTCTAACCACATAAAAACAGGACGTGCTAGAGCCGTAATAAAACTGCCTGAAACAGCAAATGAGAATGAGATACAAATATAAGTAGCTGGACGGAGTTGTAAGATCACCTCAACTCAACTAGGGTCAGAGTGGAAAGCCTCCCCGAAGAGGCATGTTTTGAATTGCATCTTGAATGTCAACCAGGGGAAGCTCCTCCGGAAGCTGGTTCCACAAGGGTGGAACCACCGCGAAGAAGGCCCTACCTCCCATAGAAGGTTTGTGGTCCTCCCTTGGAGTGGCTGCCCGGAAGAGCCTCATTTGCCATGGTCTGGTGGGTTGGGCAGTTGACCTTGGGGAGTGATGCTCCAACTCAACTACCTGTATTTGTATGACCTGAATAAGAAATGTAGCCTATATTTCTGTCATAGTAGCGGAAGTTACCAATTTTGTTCCTACTCTGGTATCCTTTCTTTTTCCCTCTGCTCTTCCTCTGTCTTCTTCCTGTCTTATTTCTTATTTCTTGCTGGTCTTTTCCTTGTGATAACCTACTGATAATTGAACTCCCCACCCCCACCCCGATCAAGTCTCCTTCACCTCCTGCCCTTAGCAGGCAGCATCATCTCTTCTTAATCCTTCTCTTACAATAAACTGTCAAGAAATAAAGCATCGTACCTGTATTCTGTATTGTTTGGTTTCTTTGAGCTGAATATGTTTATTTTGACTAGAATATATGCACCTTGCCTTTTAGCTTGTTTGCTGTTACAGCGCAAGAAGTCTATATCATGGGAATATGCTAAGAGAAACCATGCACTTGAAATCAGCCTATATTAGTATATTGAGTAAACACCAGGAGCTTCTGTATTTTTACTCTTTCCACTCTTGAATAGCAAATGGTTGTAACCTCTGACCCATAATAATTAGGCCCCTAACTGTAAAGTTATGTATGAATTTAAAAACCACTGTCCTTATCCCATCCTCTTTTTTTAAAAAACAGGATCCGTCCTCAGATGCCAAAGGAGAAAATCGAAGGATGTCATATCTGCACATCAGTGACACCTGGGGAGCCCCAGGTGCTCCTTGGGAAAGACAAAGCCTTTACCTACGACTTTGTTTTTGACCTGGAAACTTGGCAGGAGCAGATCTACACAACTTGTGTATACAAGCTTGTCGAGGGCTGCTTTGAAGGGTACAATGCCACAGTTTTGGCATATGGTCAGGTATGTCTCCCCTTTGTCCTCATCACAGCCTCTGCCATAAGCAGATCAGAGTAGGTGAGATGTAAACAGATCTGCTTTGTTTTCAGCAGCTTTTCAGTTTGTATTCCTAGTTTTGTCCACAGTGACTTTACCACAAAGTAGAACAGGAAACAGCTATGGTGGTTTTGAGACACCTATCTTGTTTCTCAGCATCACAGTTGTGTTTACATATGGTAGCCAGTCTTTTACTCTTTGGGTACAAGACCAATATCATGGTTAAAATGGGAGACTGAGGAGTCAATAACTATTGTTTGTTACAAAATATAGGAAAGAAAGAAAGGAAAGTTGAAGATTAAAAACAGAGATTGATGTGCCCAATAAGTTCGCTAAACCTATGTACTGCTTTATACTGTTATCTGCTTACCTGGGCAACAGCTGCTATTATATCTCACAATAAAGCAAGGAGCCAGTTTACACTTTATGAGGTTTCCTGTCATGGTTGCTTAATAGGGTGAGAACAAATGGACACCATGCACTACTAGCATACTGCCTCATATCTTGTAAGAGAGTTAGGCAATCTCTAGAAGCCCAGCAGTTATATGTGCACATCCCTAGATTTTGGGGGACTACACTCAGTCCCATTATGCCTAGTCCACAATTTTCCCTTACAGATTTTTTTTTTAATTCTGGAAAAAATTATCTTTCATCCTCTAGTCTAGAGGCCATTTTTTTAAAAAAAGCAAAATGGGGAAGCTGCACCAGTGACCCCTCAAAATATAGTACAATTGCTCCCTGCCCTGAGAGGGCTAAAGGTTACATTTTAAACCCCACATTATACTTTTGAGGGAATATGGGATTGTTAGGGTGCATTTGAGCCCCTGGGCGTTCGGTTCTGCCTTATGGTATGATTGTGGTGTCTAAGTAAGTCCACTGGAACTGCACACTATTGCCATCATGGTTTTTGGTGGCTGATAAGTAGATCTAAGGATGCCCAGTGTAGTGTGGTAGAGAGAGTGACAGACTGGAGCTTAGGAGAGTAGGGTTCACATAACTACTCGACTGTGGAAATTTTCTGGTGGGAGTGGAACAGGTAAAACCTTAAATTTCTCACTTATAATTTGGTTTCAACTTAACAGTGCATAACACACACACATACACACAGTCTCCGTAGTGGAGAACAGAGTTCACCATATTGCTTTTAAAAAAGAATTCATTACTCATAGCACATTCCTTTACAAAATATCATGTTAATGTTACACTTTATTAAAACAGAACCTTATTAGTTACTTGTTACCATTGCATTGCTTTTTTAACTACTTTAAAACTACATTTAAATTACTCTACTTTTTATTATATTTAAAAATACAAAAATGGCCCCAAATCTTCCAGAATAGGCACTTGGAAGTAAAGCTTTGGGAGTAACAAAAAAGCATTATCCATTACACTAAAACATGCATATGTTGTTATTCTCTATGCCACTTTTAAAAAGTAGCAGGATTTCAGATTGTGTCATTACTTGTAATGTATTACTTGCAAGCTCTGGTGTAGAATTGGGTAGCTTACTTTTCAACAAGGCTGCAATGCTGCAAGCATGCAATGTGCACTTCCATTTCTTTTGGCTACAATCATTTTATCCTGTCCAAACCCTGATCTTTTGGGGCTTGAGGGATTGTCTTCTCCCCCTGTGTTCCAGGATGACTTTTGGGCCAAATGATTTTGACTGTGCAAAACTTGAACAGCAAGTGCACCTGTAGAGGTTTTCTGGGAGGCTGCCTTGCAACACAGTACAACTCCTTTCTGCTAGACATTAGAACTGCCAAGCCTTGCTAGAAGTGTTGTAAGATGCTCTTGTTCAGCTCTTAACAATGAGAGTTAAGTAAGTGGGTTAATCATAAGGATGAATATAAATGCTCTAACATATTGTTTTTACTGGTCAGAATCCTGTTGTGGTTTTACTCTGGAGTAAGTGAAATCAAATTAGTCATGGGAGCAAATTGCAGCTGGGTGCTGGTCATGTGCCTGGTTACATGCAACTTACACAACAAAAACCTTAGTAATTAGCAGTAATTAGCTGCAACTTATGCATATTCACCTGTCATGGTACTACTGTATATATGCTGTCAAGTCAGAAGCAGCTTATAGAAACCCTAATAGGACTTTTAAGTGAGATATTTGAGTGGTTTTACCAGTTTCACTCCATCCCTATGAGTTTCCATGGTCAAGTGGCGTTCGAATCTTGACCTCCTGAGTTCATCTATCACTTTATCCACTATGCCACACTAAGTTACATCTACTCCAGATTAAAATTCTAACAGGATCCTGGTCATCGTATCTTTTTTTCCTATGGGTGTTTTCAAATAAGTCTTCACTATGCAGTTGCATTGGTTTATTTATGGATTTTTATGGGAGGACCAGATGACAGAGTCTTCAGTTTGCAGCCTTGCCATGCTTTCCTATTGTTTCATCTGCCTTTTTTATGTACCAGAGAAAATCCATTAAAATAAAGACAGAATACCTGCCTCAATTTCGAGCCACATGAGATTGCTATCTGCACACATCCTATCATAGGATTTCCCTTCATTCCATATCCTGTCACTTACTGACTTCATATCACATTGCATATCTTTTTAGGTCAGCCCCGGGTGGTTTTGTTAGCGTTTTTGTTTCACGCTTCCTTCAAGGAGTCTTTTGCCTCAAGGCGCTGAGCTTCATAAACAGTGTGTGAGGTGGGTGAGGATGAGTAAACATGGCTCGCTGAAGCGCACCAGAAGAGCTTTGCAACTGTGTGAGGATTTGAAGGTGGATTTCCCATGTACCCACCCATGTACCTGTTTTAGTCACTGCGTCAGCCCTGAGGAAAGGGTGGGAGAAGATTTGAAATGAACGAATTTGGCGCAGGAAGACTGCCTTCAGTGTAATGTTGCAAAAAAAAATGGCTTTGGTAAACAAGATTTACGTATTAGTGTTTAAGTTTAAAACAGTTTACTTTCGGAAAGTTCTCACCTCCTCATACTCACAGACCATTTTACTGAATCCCCTGTAGGAGAACATGTAGAGTGCCCAGCTGGCTGAACAACCAAGGCAAATTATGAGGAAAGATGCCTGGCTGCCAGGGGATTCTGGGAAAGGTAGTCCAAGGAATAACTTTTCCAAGCTCTGAAATTATAAAGTGCAGTAAAAGGGTATGCTTGTTAGTGAGCCTTAAGGACTCTCCAGTGCTGAGAGCCCAAAGATATGTATTCTTTCAAAAGTGAAACTTTGCCTTGGTGACACTCTGTTTGTGTTATTGTTGTTGTATGTCATCAAATCACCTCCAATTTAGGCAACCCTATGAATGAGCTATCTCCAAAATGTCCTATCCTCGACAGCCCTGCTGTTGGACAGTCTACATGTTCTCTTGCAAACTCAAGCCTGCGGCTTCCTTTATGGAGTCAGTCCATCCTGTATTTGGCCTTATGTTTCTCCTGCTGCCTTCCATCTTTCCCAGCATTATTGTCTTTGCCAGGGAATCCTGCCTTCTCATAATGTGCCCAAAGTAGGATAGCCTCAGCTTATACAAGAGTTTATTGGTCTCTAGTGACACACCCTTGCACTTGATGATCTTTTCTAGTTCCTTCACTGCTGACCTTCTGAGTCTTTCTTCTGATTTCTTGGCTATATTAGGGTTGATGACTGAACTCAAGGTGTACAAAATCTCTGTACCCCCCGTCATCTATCTTAACTGTCTAGCTTTCACACTCATACACGGTTACTGGAATACAAGAGTTTCTTGGTCTCTAGTGACACACCCTTGCACTTGATGATCTTTTCTAGTTCCTTCACTGCTGACCTTCTGAGTCTTTCTTCTGATTTCTTGGCTATATTAGGGTTGATGACTGAACTCAAGGTGTACAAAATCTCTATTTCAATTTCTTCATAAGCACCTATTTTGTTTTCTCTTAGACAGGTGCAGGCAAAACTTACACCATGGGTACTGGCTTTGACATGAATGTTTCTGAAGAGGAAAATGGCATAATTCCACGAGCCATTGCCCACCTGTTCAATGGCATAGAAGAGCGCAAGCGGGCAGCGCGGGAACAAGGCGTACCAGCACCAGAGTTCAAAGTCAGTGCACAGTTCTTAGAGGTAGGTGCAATGGGGATTTTGTGGAGATGGTGCCATGAGAAAGACAGTGCATAGGCTCATTCAGAGAGGATAGAAAGTGGCCGAGAAAGGAAATCGGTACTATTTCAGCTGTGGAAAATGTAGAGCTCCTATTATATGAACATTTCTTTTTCAATGTGGAGCACACTAGCCAATTTAAGGTCTAGATTATGGTGTCTAGTTTTTTGTAAGTTGGTCACCAGTGAGGAGAATGAAACATTTCACGCAGCACAGTACCTTTGTGTGTGCCACATTCAGGGCTTCTCATCCTTTGCCTCACAGGACTCCTTGAATTTCAATATCATCCTGTTTTTTTTATCCCTGTCATCAAGCTTTCTCTTTGCAAAACAGTTCAACAGTGTGAACTGAATTCCTGTTAGAACAAGAGCACCACATTATGTAACCAAAGTAGACATATCAGCTGTAGACCATCTGTTCTGGGTGTATAATTTTAATCTTTTAGCTCTCATATAGCCTTGTAGTCAATAAAGCCACTCATTGCACAAGTACAAAAACGCCACATTAGCTCTATATCCAGTGGCTGAGACATCTTTGTCACTGTGTACTGCTGGAGTCCTCTGAAAGACAAGCTGCATGGTATCACATATTATTTCACTCAGATGTATATTCTTTCCCACCTCTTTATTCAGCTGTATAATGAGGAGATCCTGGACCTTTTTGATAGCACACGCGATCCTGATTCCCGCCACCGGAAGTCAAACATCAAAATTCATGAAGATGCTAATGGTGGAATATACACCACAGGTGTTACATCACGTCTCATTGGCTCGCAGGACGAGGTAGGTGAACTGATAAGGAAGGGAGGGAGGGAGGGAAGGGGGGTAGGGAGAAAGGTCTCATGCTTGTGTTCCATGTTATTGATTGATTGATTGATTGATTGATTGATTTGATTGATTTGATTGATTTGATTGATTTGATTGATTTGATTTATTTATTTGGTTTATATGACATCCTCCTCCTGATGGGAGACTCAAGGCAACTCACAACAATTCAAACCATACAATAATAACAAGTTTAAAATGCCATACAAAACTACTGTATATATTAAAAACAATTAAACACTGGCCAGTATTAAAAACAATTTGTAAAACATATTCGCCTTCGCGAATACAAATTTGTAAAACATTTTGAAAAACATTTTAAAATGTCTTTTTTTTAAAGAGCATTCCCTAGATACTTACATCTAAAATGCCCGCCTCAGTCTAAAGGAAGGTCTTTGGTCCCCTCACTCCTGTCTTTCCATCATCAAACAATGTGGCTTCTCAGGGCAGAGTGCTCCAAAGCCTAGGAGTAGCCACTGAGAAGGCCCTTTCTCATGTCCTCATCAAATGAGTTTGGGAAGATGGTAAAGTTCATCAGTACCAATATATCTAATGAGTGGAAAAGGAGAAATCTACCCTTCTGTTACCGCAATGAAATGGCTACAAGTTGTCCATGATTTGATCTACATTATCTTGAGTGTACACACTGAGAACATGTGATCAATGTCTTCTGTTGCCATGGAAGAGGTTTTTTTGTGGGGAGGGCGGGATTCGCTATCTGTTTTTCAAATTCTTGCCAAATTTTAGCCTGATCTTACTGCAGATTCTACTATTCTCTGTGGCATTCTCAGTTGCAAGAATTTCCTATTTAGGTGGAGTCTGTAACAGTGTACATTTCTGTTATGAGTCAGCTCTCTCAAATTATTTGCATTTTACCTTTAATAACATCTCCTTTGAGGGTTTTTTATGGTTTTCCATGCCTCCACCTCCCAGGGCTAGTGTTGGAAGGTTAGGGGTCCATTTCCCACCTTCTTAGATCTAATGTGGGCTGCACCAGCCCCTCCTGGCAAAACCAGAAGGGACTGGAAGAAAGGGTATTTCTAGAAGGGTTTTTTTTAATTGGCATTTTGTTAAAACTGTGCAGAGGCAGGAGCTTTATTCAGAAGAATATCACACCCCCTGGAAGCTACTGGAAGTGCACATTTTTTGTTTATTTTCAGTAGGTTGGGTTGATGGAGGCCTCAGAAGCCACAAAAATAGCCTTGGAAAGCTGCATAATTTCCAGCCCATTCTCGTTGATAGCATACATATTGGTTGGCCAAAAGCATTGTGTGCCTTGTCATTTAAACCCGGATAAGAGGTATCCCTTTGTTGTGTTGCAAGATCAGGGAATCAAATTAGATGCTACTTGTAAGTCCCTTGTCTCTTTATTGTTTTTTAGATGAAAAGCAGCTTTGGAGGCTTTAACAAAGAATGTACAGGAAAAAGAGCTGCTTTAATCTGTTTGCTCCTTTCATTTTCTATCTATAATTGTCCCTTGGGTGCTATTCTACTTCCAGGTAAAAGTTTGAGGATCTCTTCCCCCATGGGGAGCTGAGGAGGCATCTTCCCCACCCCATTTTATTTGAGTTTTACATGCATTTTTGTCCTGGTTATTTCTACAGAAGGATGATATATTAATATTGCTTTCAGAATGTTAAGTTGGACATTAAAGCTTGCAGAAATTTTACAAAATTCAAAAAGTCTACAGCGAGTCAAACACTGCCAAATTAAGTTCCATAACATCCATAGTAAATAGCCAAATGCTCATTTACAGACCTGTGTTCTTGAGTGATAATTGCTATCATACCTTTGAGAAAGTATTCGTATGGATTTTTCCTTTTTTCATTTGAGCAGTGCTTGTAATTTTTCTCTGTAACACTAAATTCTATATCTTATTCAACCACACTGAATCACAGTAAGCTTCTGATGATTTCCAGACCCTTGCAGTCAGTATCCTAGCAACCACCAATAGACAGGGAAGTAATTTGCAATCCTTTACTTGAAACTGAACCTCTGACATTCCTAGTCAAAAGTACGTCAACCTTGAAAGTTAATACATAACTTGCATTCAAGTAATTATACTTATTATTTCTTAGTAAACAGGTTTAAGTTTAAGACAGTTCAACCATATGTGTAAGTATGTGCTCTTTCAGTCCAATTCTTTGAGCAGCACACCCAGTGGTGACCTGTAATTTTTTTCAATTGCAAAGAAATTATATACACTATCTGGTAATTAATTTGTGCTCTCTCTTTTTGTAGTCTGCAGAAGTAAAATATAAAAGCCGCTTTCCTCAACAAAATTTGAACCATTGCCATCCAAATTTAGCATACACTTTGTTGTTCCAATGAGACATTCAATTGTTTGACACTAATTCCTATCAAGATCTTTCATTTCCATACAGAATGGCTTTAAAGATCTGCAGCTCTTATGTTGTCAGGGCTCTTAGGCCATTGTTCCGGGATTTAGATAAGAGAGAATGCTATTATTAAGAAAAACTGATAAAGTACATATTTCTACTATTTTAATTTGGAAGCTGGTCTTCTTGTGGAAAAGAATTACTCTTCTATCTCCATAAATCTTAAAAAGATAATAAATGGGTCCTTCTAGATGAGGCTTATTAAACATGTGTCAAGAAAGGAAAGGTATAATAGCCCGCAAAGGATCTCAGATGAGAGGATTAGGTGCCCTCTGCCTGGAATCGACCATATTGAAAAATCCCCTTTGGCTGCTGGAGCTTCCATACAGATGTATGAGGCATATTAATGATAGAAGGACTCTGATCAACATCTTTCTTTACCACAGATCCCTGATTCTGTGATTACATTTCTCATAACTATATCATTAACCTGATAGTCGATGAAGTGTTTGAAACATATTAAATTATAGCAGTATGGTTGTTTTGTATTAAAGAAACACAAAATGTCCCCAAAATTTTTTGGACTTGAATATATTGGCAAATCATGGCTCATTGATGAATGTTTTATGTTAAATAACTGATGCAGTTCTGTAGTGATTGATTAACAATGTTCTCAATGGCTACTTAGAGAAGATCTAACTGAGTTCAGTGGGACTTATTCCCAGGGTGCTGTAGAATAGATGATTTTTAGAAGAGAAAAAGTCAGGAAGGATTAATCAGCAATTCCAACCCCCAATCCCACCTCCATCAGAGACTGTTTTTAGCTAAGAGAAGGATGCTGTCTCTTACATGTCAAATCTAGGTTGGCGGTGGTGCTTATAATCTAGAACAGAGGTTCTCAAGCTTGGATAACCAAGGTGTTCTCAGCTGCATTTCTCAGAAGCCTTCATCACCAGTTTTGCTGGCCGGGGTTTCTAAAAGTTGCAGTCGAAGAACACCTGCATTACCCAAGGTTGGGGACCACGGATCTGGAAGGCAGAATTTTGCAAGATCCAAAGGTGAAATACTCTCTGGCAGGATCATTCAGTACAACCTGTTAAAGCATAGTTGAAAAATGCTGCAGTCTGCATTTGTGTGCACGCAGCTGATTGTATCTGACAGAAAATGTAACCCCTCTATCCCTGCAGCTGATTCAGTGCCTAAAGCAGGGAGCTCTATCCCGAACCACAGCCAGCACCCAGATGAATGTCCAGAGCTCCCGCTCCCATGCAATCTTCACCATCTACCTTTGCCAAATGCGTGTCTGCTCCCCTGTGCACTTGGTAAGAAGATATGAATGGGGACGGGGTGGGCAGGTGGTTTGAAGTGCTTTTGCATTCTTCTTTATTGTAGTCAGAGAACGGGGCGGAATTGTGCAGAACGTAACATAATTTGGAAAAGTTATTTAAAATGTTTTTAGACTATAATGTCCAGAATATTCCAGACAACATAGGAATAAAGATAACAGCTACGTTTCCTGGGAAGTGGAGACTAGGGAACTTGAACTGGCCTCTTGCAGGAGCCATGATTTCTCTTGTCCTGGCCACAGCAGGCACTTTGAGGAGCTTGAAGAGTGGCAGAACAGCAAAGATCAGCACTGGTAACAATTTTTAGTGCCTTTAAAATCCACTGTTCCTTAAATTTTGATGCTGAGATTGTTCCACTTTCAGATGAATGGGGACCCTAATAGTCTCCTGGAGGGATCAGAGCCTACCAGTGAGTATGAGACACGAACAGCCAAGTTTCATTTTGTTGACCTAGCTGGCTCAGAGAGGTTGAAGCGGACGGGTGCTACAGGCGAAAGGGCCAAAGAAGGGATCTCCATCAACTGTGGTTTGGTATGACCTTTATTGTATAGATCGATCAAGATGGGTGTGAGCCCCCTAACAATTTTGCCTGGCATGCAGGCTCTTGCTGCAGCTGCTTACTGTTCTAGAGTTTTCTGCAGCTCCAAACTCTTGTTTTTGTTTGACAATGAAGAATTCTTGCAGTGTGCCAGTCTAATTGAACAGGACTGCTGGTGTGAAATGTGTTTTGCCTCTATTGTGTATATAACTCCAGTATAAGATTCCTAGGGAACAATGGAAATGGGACTGTAGTTTAGCTGCCATTCATTGCCTTTTGCATTTGGATGAAAGACTACTGTGTGTGTTTGTTTTATTTGGATATCCAGTGTCTCTGAAGTATGCATCTAAAAATAGGAAGTATGAATGTTGGCAAAATTATCACGTAAGCAGGCTTGTTGCAGGCTCCTGGGGTTGTCTACTGTTTGACTACAGTATGTAAATCAGGCATTGTATCATGTAAAATTAGTGAAAAAATAATTGAATAATAAAGAAAGAATGGGATCTAAGAAACATGGAACATTGGTAGATGGACCAGTAGAATCCGAGGTCTATGCAAAGGCTAGAAGACCCCATGAAAAATGAAGCATAGTCTGTTGGAAGTCTGTTCTGTATTTGTAACAGGAACTTCTTTTTCCTGTAAATTTTCTTCATAGCCATTAAGGCTGGAAACTTGTTTTTCAAAATGAGTTGGAACTAGATAGATATTTAAAGTTAAATCAAGTTTGTATATCTTAATAATTCAGGCAGGTTGATGCTGAAAGTCTCTTCCCCTGGTAGCCGAATTCATATGGTACAATCCTGTAAGTAATAATAGGTGGCTTTTATCAGCCTGATCTTGTGTTAAGCAACAAGGTCCCACTTCCCAATCTGATAAATGTGAGGAATTTCTCTAGAGGAAACTCTGAAATAAAGGTACAAGAGAAAGTGGACAACTTTATTCATGGACTTTGTCTGTTTCTTTGGCAGTTAGCTCTGGGGAATGTCATCAGTGCCCTTGGCGATCAAAGTAAGAGAGCCTTGCATGTGCCGTATCGAGATTCAAAGCTGACCCGGCTCCTCCAAGACTCCCTGGGTGGCAACAGGTAATGAGAAGAAACACTAGAACAGCTGCTCATTGCGTGCCAAAAGTCTCAGAAATGCTTACATAAATTCATTTGGATTGGAGGCTGTTCGTGGAAAGGCTGTCTGGGTGGCATGTGTGTGATTAGCATTTCATGGCCACAAGGGTGCTTAATTAGAGGCCCTAAGGGCAAGACCACAACAAGTGTTACAAGAAATGTATTTTGAAACAAGCTTCATTTCCCCCAGGTTCCAAATATGATTATTGGCTTCTCCAAAAGAGATGCTTACATAACATGCTTAAGCTGTTTTTGATCCAGAATTTTGGCAATGAACCTTCTAACATGGATCATTATAATCTCCTCTCCTTGCTTCAACCCTCCTAGGCTGTTCTTTTATCAACTGCCTTTATGTCCCTCATATTCTGTGTTTGTCCTTACAAGTCCCTTTGGATCTCAGATGGTCTCTTTTCTGTGCACTGTTGGACAGAAAACTTGGCAGTTGGCCCAAGACAAAACGAAGGAAGTTTCCAGAAATCCTACAAGCTTAAATTCTTCATAATTTGCTCCTCATATGTGCCTCTCCACCCACCACCAGTGCTCAACAAATTTTAGGCCTGTATAACAAAAAAAACTGGAGCTGCCAGATTACATAATGGGTTAATCTTGGGAATGTCTTGATCACCCCATCACTCCCCTCATGTTACACACAGAGCAGGTTACTCTGCCAGTGCAGGTGGGAGACTGGAAGCCTTCCTCTACTTGATCCTGTCTGCTTTCCCTCTCTTGCAGCCAAACCATAATGATTGCCTGTGTGAGTCCTTCAGACCGAGACTTCATGGAGACCCTGAATACCCTGAAGTATGCAAACCGTGCTCGTAACATCAAGAACAAAGTCGTAGTGAACCAGGATAAGACGAGCCAGCAAATCAATGCCCTGCGAGCTGAGATTGCTCGCCTCCAGATGGAGCTCATGGAGTACAAGGCAGTAAGGAGAAGTCATGTGTGTTTGGTTTTTTTGCAGGTGACGTTTTTGCAGGTCACTGCTGAAGCTGAAGCGCAAGTCGTCAGGCACTGCACACAGTCTCTCTTATCCCCAGTAGTGGTTTTGTTTCCTCTGAGCATTTCATCTGATATGTATACCAAGTCAATTTCTGCAGAGGGAAGGGGAAATCTTAGATTTCTCGTTCTCTTTTTCTCTTCACCCTAGTTGCAGCTGATTCGTTATGTATGGATCCTAAGTCTCTCTCAGCTTCAGTTTCTCCATCTTCAGATGAATGGTAATAGTGGTCTCCTTTACAATAAGTGAACCAGAAAATATTGGAATGTAGCAGAGTCATCAGTTTTTTAGTCCTTACAGCTAGCAGTTAACAAGTAGTGGAGTCAACAAGAAGAGGAATGAAGACAGCACTTACAAAAACAATTCACATATGTAGAGAAGGCTTAGAATGGCTCTTTTTATATGTACTGTATATAGATTATAATTCCCAGTGTGTGTGGTGGATAGAATGATGGACTAGAACTCTGGAGAACAGGATTCGAATCCCCACTTGGCTATGGAAAGTCACTAGGGGAATGGAACTAGTAATACTGTACCACTCCTTAAATATCTTACTTACTTTGAAATCCCTCTTAGGGTCACTAGAAGCTGGCTCTGACTTGATGGCACAGAACATACAGAGAGATTATAATTAATAATTGAATCACAATTTCATAATTACTGTACAGAATAGAATAAATTAATCTAAACATTCCAATAAGAAAAATACCAAAATCGCATTCTATCATGTCCTTTCTGTGAAATGGTCATTGGAAAACAGGTCAGAACAAGGATTGTCAATTCCTGTGGCTTAGTCGGAGTGCAACTCTTTGAAAAGCCAGATTATCCAAATGTATGTTTTCAGTTAGGAATAGAGAAGATTTATAGAAATTGAAGAATTTGCATATCAAATTCTTCTTACATTCCTTTACATCATGTAGAGACCTTTCAGCCATTTCTGAGCTGAGCCCAAACACTCTTTTGAATATTTCTATAACTCATGGACAACCTGTATGGAGGCATACCTGCATTTCTGCAGATTTTACTAAGTTTTACTAAGTTTTACTAAGCAAGGGGAGGAGGGGAGAGAACAGTAGCTTGACATTCTCTCAAAAGCTTGCTTCTAAATTTTCTTACAGAAAGCGATCATTCAGAAATGTTCTTTTTATTCCTTTTCCATTTAATTGTTACATGCAGCACTCACACTGAAATGCTACTTAAAAATTACCAAAACTGTCCGTCATTATTATTATCAAGGTACAGTATCTCTTTCCAACTATTAGTTTCCCAGATGAGGTCTATTGGCTGTTGACAAGCCTTTGAATTATAAGCTGGTGTGATTTTATTTATTTATTTATTTATCTATCTATCTATCTATCTATTTATTTATTTATTTATTTATTAGGTTTTTGCCCCGCCCCCCCTAGACAATTCGGGGCATCTTAAGAAGGACACAAGGCAGCTTGCATCATTCAAAGATAATATTTAAACCTAAAAATAATGAGTAAATACTAAAATGGGTCAAACAAATACCACAATGATGATAAATAGAAGCAACATCAAAACACATTCAAAGTAGTAAGGCACCCAGTTTTGTTTTAATATTGACGCTTTCCGCTGATTGTTTTTAATGGCAGCATTTACGCTTTCTTTTTTACTTTTCTTTTTATGGCTTGATTTTACTGTGTACCAAGATGCACTATACATTTCCTGGGGACCTGACAATCAAAGACAAAAACAAAGATAAAATGTAGAAAATACATCTAGAGCTGTTAGAATACACTGTTCTGTCTCAGAAGTACATGGAGTTCATGGAATTAATTATTTCAGAATAAATGTAGGGATTGGATATTTTAAAGCTTCCTAATGTCAGAATCTTACATATGAGTAAAACTGCCTTGTTCAGCAGCAGGCATGACGTATTTGGAGTGGAACAGTCTTGCGACTACAGGTTGCCTCTTAGTTGGGATATGCCTAGGCAGCTGGTTTCTTTGTGCCTGCAGCCCTTCCCACTGCTTTCTTTCATTCCCCAATCCCAAAGGGTAAGCGTGTCATTGGAGAAGATGGCTCTGAGGGCTATAATGACTTGTTCCATGAGAATGCCATGCTGCAGAAGGAGAACACCACTTTACGTATGCGTGTGAAGGCCATGCAAGAGGCTATTGATGCAATCAACATCCGTGTTACTCACTTGATGAGCCAGGAAGCTAATCTGATTCTTGCCAAGGCAGGTGAGATTGTGAAGGTCATTGGTTGGAATTTCCAGTCTGTTTCGTTAGCCAACATACAGTATAGTCAGCACTGGTGTATTCCTAAGCAATGGTGGAATCTGTATATCTTGCCGGTGTTGAGGGTGTTCTGTAAGAGTGAAAATATATGTGACATTAGGCTAAGCATCCTTCAGTCTTGAGAAACTAAGGTATTGTGCTCTTCCTGGAGGACTTGGAACAGCATCTAGTGTGGCTGAGAAGGCCAATTCGAGAGTGACCATCCCTTCCACACTGAAGACAAATCCAATCTGTCCCCTGTCCAGCTTCCTGATTTTGCTGCTTTCAGGACTGCCTCTTTGCCTCAGCCTGCTGGACAAGGGTCTCTTCAAATTGGGAGCGTCTTGTGTTTAAGCAAGTCTCAGTATATTTGTTTGAAAGAAAAAGCAGCCTTGATCCCAAATCTGGCATCTAGTGCCTCGTGGCTTTTGGCTGCATTATGCCCCCAGTTTCTGTTCCTGGTAAACATTAATGAACTCACCAAATAACTGCTGAACAGAACATTATTTTATACTCACTCTGTGGAGCCAGTCTCTCATACTGTTAGAAGCCAGTTTCTGTGCTGTACAACGTACTTGTTTTTCTAAGGTGTTTGCTGTTAGCACTTACATTTCCTTCTGGTCCTACCTTTTCTTGTTTAGCCTTTTCTTTTAGGTTTCTGCTTTGACTTTAGTACTCATTTTGTTATTTCTTCCAGGCGATGGCAATGAAGCCATTGGTGCTCTGATCCAGAATTATATCCGTGAAATTGAGGAGCTCAGGTAAATAGGACTTGTGTTCATTTTGGTTTTCACATTTTATAAGCAGCCATGTATCTACCTGGGTGGGGTGGGGTGGGGTGGGAAAAACAGTGCTTGAAGCTGAGTTCTTGTTCACCTTTAATGGTGACTCTTCAACGTACTATTGGTAAGTACTGTTCACCCCTACAGCTTCTTGATTTTTCTGTAAGATGATGAACTTCATTCTTCAATTTAAAATAATGCACTTTAGTACAAGAGATGAATAAGGCACTTTGAAATAAGCTAGTATTAGAACCAAACTACATGTACTATGTAACATTTCTTTAGGAACAGTGTCTGTTCTCTCACCTGCCCCACTATTCTACATTCCCTGTAGTCTCTATGAAAATGCTTTCTCTAGTTCCTTTAATTAATTCAAAAACAAGAAATAGTTCCTAATGACTTAATAAGTGTTGTGTACATTTTGCTCCATGCTAGTGACTCCTGCATCCACACGAAAAAAGTTTAGATCGTCAGCAGCTGCTGCAGGTACAGAAAAGTACCAAGTCCTACATGCATGAAAACAATGCAGTAGCAGCCCCAGATGCCAGGATGTACTGTGGAGCAATACAGAAACACATTGCCCTTTCTCACCCTGACATATGATGAAGGTCAGGGAGGGATGCAGATACCCCAGCATATGACTAGAGGGGAGCTGATACAAAGAACGTATATCAGTGGCAACTCTCACAGATACGAAATGTGCAGTCATAGCTGCCACAGTGCATAGGCGTGGATACTTGTCTTGTAAAAGTTTTTAAGCTGAACAATTCAGCTAGTAGTAATAGTGCTGTATAAGCATATGAACACTAGTGTGTCCTTATTATAGATGTTGCTTCACTCGGTCTGTGGTTTTGGTTCTGACAGCACTTTTTCAATGGTCTTGGTGGAGTTAGAAATTATACCTAATTCAGCCTGGCTATGTTCTGTATGATCCTGAGCCACCAAATAGGTGAGAACCGTCTTCCAAACAGACATTTGTGTATCTTGAAAACAAGCTGCTTCCCTCCAGCCAGAGATAATCTGATGAAGATTGTAACATTCCTTGTCTTCCTAGGACAAAGCTGTTAGAGAGTGAAGCAATGAATGAGTCACTGCGTCGCAATCTATCACGGGTGTCGTCCAGGCTTCCCTACTCCCTGGGCTTATCTCCAGGACCTGGTATGGGAACTTCAAACAGCCCTGTCACTTCTGTGGAAGCCGAGGCCTCTGAGGTCCTCCAGTGGGCCAAGCAAGACGTAGAACGATTGAAGAAGGAGACAAAGCAGCGAAAGAAAAGGTGAAGTCGGCCACCCTGCAAGGCATCTTATTAGAAGACTCTTACTCAAACCAGTTTCTTTCCTAAGAACATCTTAGCAGTGCAGAAACATCTTGGTTCCCCACCTTTCTCATTCTCTGTCTCTTTGGTTAGTAACTGCTATTATCACTGACCATTGGTCATACTGGCTGGGGCTCATGGAAGTTGACATACAAAACATCTGGAGGCCCCTAGCTTTAGGAAGGCTCTTCTAACATCTCATCCCCTCCTCAGCGAAGAAATGCAGGAGAGTGGAGCTTGCAGCCTTTTTCAGAAGAGAAGTACATAGACACTCAATTTGCTAGAGTATCTGGGCAGTTGATATACTTTCTCTTGAATATAAATTAGATGATAAGAAGGCTTGTGAGTTTTTGCTATTGTTTGTGGCAGATTAGCATATAGGAAGAATGAAGATAATATTCAACAGAAAGTGTTGAATACTTTTTTTACAGCATACCTATTTCAATCTGTCAGTTGACACAGTTCAGTGGACGTCTATCCAGGTAACAATGCAAAAGATTTCAGTTGCACTGCTCCAAATAGATTTGATATTTGGTGGATTTTGAGGGTGAGGCTGTACATACACAGTCAGGTTTTTGCATTTTAGGCTATCTCTCTGCCACAGTGTGTAATGGAAAAATATATATTATTTATTAGTAGTAACATTATAATCTTGCCTTTTCTTCAGTAGTTCTGCATAATGCTTGGCTCTCTTCTCCATACTGTTTCCTCTCAATATGCCTGTAAGGTAGACCAGGTAGAGAGGAAAGGTTACTGGCCCAGGCAGGGTCGGTGCCAGGCTTTTTTGTGCCCTAGGCAAGGCTAACTACTTGCGCCCACCCCAACCAGTTTTCAAAAACAGACAAATTGTAGGAAGAACATTAAGTACAAAAGTTGAAATTGTGAAAAATTTATTTTAAAAAACTGTAATAGAACAGTCTTCAATTTTCTTTCTCAAATACAAAAGTTTTAGCTCACAAATAGTTTGAATAATCCTATGAACTGTAATGTCTTTTAAATGTTTCTATTTTTGCCACATCAGAATCTCATTTTGCCTGCCTTTTCTTCTGCAAATTTTGTCACTGATTCCTTCAGGTCAATGGCTGATGCTTCGGCATGTTCAATTGACATAGTTGCCAAGCCAGCTAGTCTACTTTGCAGCATTGTTGAGCGTAAATATGTTTTTATAAGCTTAAGCTTTGAGAAACTGCGTTCACCACTAGCCACTGACACTGGAAGTGAGAAGGATCCTTAGAGCAACAGAAACATTAGGCACACTATCCAGGAGTTTTTGTTGCACTGTGAAGAGAAGTACTCCTTGTGGTGGCATAGACTTTGGAAGTCTTCGAGCTATTGCTATAAGTTCACAGCACAGATCTTTAGCATCAATACCTTTGTTTCCATTGTGCATCAATGATTTCAGAGTAGCGGTCCACCTGGATGATATTTTATAAGTGAGTACAAGCACATTTTCAGGCAATTCAGAACAATGCCCATAGCCATGACTCCAAAGAAGACTGCTTAAAAACTCTTGAGTTAAAAACACATTCAGAACAAATTATTATTAAAAATCACATAATTAAATTTATGGGAAGTGATTACCAGATCACCATTGTAGGAACTGCCCTCATAAGAAAATAAAAGAAGCCATGTTGGATCAGGCCAATGACCCATCTAGTCCAACACTATCAGACAGTGACCACACAGTGGTGTAGAACTTGACTATACTCTCTTATATAAATATATAGACACATCCTATACCTAGCAAAATGCAACTTCAGCAAGCAGGCAAACAAAACTATTTCAACAAGGAAGACGTTACTCTCCCTCAGTGTTCCATTTCCGAAATACAATGTAAGGATAAGTAACTGAAAAGTAAAAATGAGTAAAAGAAACTCAGCTTTTCCCCAAATGTCATTGGGAACACCATTAGAAACTCAGCTTTTCCCCAAATATCATTGGGAACACCATCCAAGCGAGTACATTCAGCTTAATAGAGGCCCTTGCAGTTGCAGTGTAAGAGTTGCTAAATTGAAAGTGAAACCAGAGTTCCCTCTAACTTGCACTAGGGGGTGTTGGTCTGACACACAGAACTTGGGATTTTTTAAGAAGAGGCATGAGCAAAGGAGTAATAGATCTTCCAGGTCAGATATCACAAGGTAGAATTTCTGCTCACAAGCTGACTTGGCTTAGAGGGAACATTGGTGGAGTGCCTCCCAAACTAAAAGTCTGTCTCCAGTTATAACTGGGGGAATGCAGCTTAAAAGAGACCAAAAGCTAAGTGAGAGAGGAAAGCCACAGGATCTTCACCAAAATTTTCTTCCCCACTGGCTAAGTGAGAAAGGAAAGCCATAGGATCTTCACCAAAATTTTCTTCCCCACTGCTGCCTGTCCATTAGCCCTGTCTGATGATTTATAACCCCAGGAAGTAGATCACAGTGGCTGGTGTCAATGGGATAAATAGGGGTGGCAGCAGGGGTCACCTGGGGGGGACTCAAGGTTTATGCAGTACTGGCAACTCAAGTGCTTATTTATTTATTTTTACTGACCCAATGGTTTTTTGCTTACTCCCATTGATGCCAGGGGTGATATATGCAAATGAGTTATGCTAATGAGAGTACCAGCAGCCCTTTTTCTATGAAATGACCCCTGGGTTGCAGTATATATAAAAAATTTATAAGACTTCATAAATAATTATATCCCATAGTACGTTTGTGTTATTTATCTTAAAATTTTAAAATATAAATTTTCAGTTGCATTTTCCCCCAAGATGCTAGTCTGTATAAAACTGCCTCTCTCAGGTCAGTTCTGCGATCCTCCAGTTCTGCAACCGTCTCGGGTCTGCGCTCTAGGCGGTCACCTAGTTTGTTTAGCACTCGTGGTAGCTCCAGCCCTGGACCCAGGGTCTCTCTCACTCGGTGAGTTTCATGGATCAGTGGGGATTCAACCCTGGATCCTCCAAGTCCCAGTTCAGCACTGTTAAGATTAAGCCATCTGTCAGTGGCAAATATTTATATATTTTTTATTTATATTTTTACCCTGCCCTTCTTATTAAAAGGACCCAAGGCGGCTTACATCAATTAAAAGATAATATAAAAGCTAAACAACGAGTATACAAATACTAAAAAGGATCAAATACCGTGCAAAAAATATAAGCAACACATTCAAAGCGATACGCCTTCTCAATACTAGACGGCTTAGGAGAGTGACTGATTGGTTGTTAAAGGGCTTGATGGAAAGCACTTTAAATAGATAAAGGGAGGCGTGTTCCTTAGGCTTAAATTTTCCTGATTTACTTTTCTCAGTTTCCCGCTTTCAATCTAATTTAAGAATATATCCTGCTCAGTTGTTCTGATTGCAGTGCTTGTAAGTTTTTGTCTGTTGTGACAGCCCTTTTGATGACCAAAATGTGAAATAAAAATAAACGCATGTGTTCATTACCTAAAAGTATCTTTCTGTTTGCAGCCCAGAGAAGGAAGGATTTAAGAAAAGGTTGAAGCTGCCACAGGGAAATGAGGCAGACGAGGCAGACGAGAATGAGGCAGAAGAGGTAGGGGATCTCACAGTTCATACGTGTTAAAGCATCTATGCTCTTCTGAGTGTCTTATCAAGTGTGCCGGACTTATCACTTGGATTCGGTCTGAGGCTGTAGAATAATGATGGTGAAGATGTGGCAATTTTTCAACATAGGAACTAATGGAAGCCCAGTGGAGAACATAAAAGAGTTTTCAAGTGCTCTTTGCTTCAGCTATGATTAGTTTTTTTCCGCCCAAAGGCACCTGACTGCAGCAGTTTTTGAACAATCTCTCAAACTCATAAAATACTATCCTTTCATCAACCCTGTGATTTTTTAATAATACAAAGGCAGAGGAGGATAGCAAAGCCCTCTTCTTTGTAGCTGATCATTGTTCTTTTTTTTCTGCTTTAGAACAGGAATATTTCTGTAAAGTGTACCTCAATAGGGGGCGTTCTGCATTGCAAAATGCAAACATTACTTTCCACTTTAACCAGAGTACTTAAAGCAAACTGCAGTATCACTTACACAATTATTCCTGAATTTAATTTTTATCGTTGGAAAAAATCAGTGCAGCATTGAAGAAGTAACAAGCAATGTGTGTGGTTCCCAGCTGTTGTCTGGTTTCTGCCATAGTTCCAAATGTTTCTGTACAGCCATTCCTTCAACAATGATACAGAGGGTGGATTGTATTATTAATAAAAGTTGAAAGTTTAGTAATATGGTGATAGAAACTGTGCAAGAAAATCCCATGATGCTTGTTGTCATCCTTCCATAATTATACTGCTATGTAGCGCTTCTTTCATGGTTTGCCAGTTACTTAACCCAACAGTAAGGCATTGTTCACTATGCAAATATTCGGAAGTTTGTGATCATGTTATGATTTTATGATTACATCTGGATTGCTGGTACTCAGAATACAAATGCTTTGTTGCCTTTTGCTTTATTATTATTTACTGCTACTATGGTCTGATTATTTTTCCTTGGCATAACGTATTGTTTATCTAAGATAGAAGCTAGGTTGTCCTTGCAAGAAATGGCAGAAGAACATAAATAATAAAGTTTAAAAACAGAATCATTGAATTGGATAACATAATAAAGTAATATCTCTAACAGTTCACAAAAATGCCATAGTTATCCTTGGAGTGTCATATTTATAGAACTAATTGGGTGATATAAATGTTTGATAAATAAATAATAAATAGAATCAGGAACTGCCTATAGCAGTTCTAAAAGCCAAGTGGGAAAGAGTAATAAGACTGGTGTTATGTTCTAAAGCAGTGTACTTGACTGTTTTCTTAAAACCTTGTTAAATATTTTGTTTAGGAGGCAAAATGCTGGGTGCGTGCCTGGTTAGGTTTTACTTGTTTGTTTGTTTTTTAAAGAGGAGATGTCATTTGTTGTAGTTCATCAATATTGTCCTGTCCTTCATGGTTTGATGTTACATGTCAGTGGGATACGGCACTTGTCTCAGAAAAGAGATTTGTGGGAATATTAATCAAACTTTAAGTCACAATTGGAATGTGGTTTGATTCAATATGTTGAAAGCCCCGAGGTTGTAAAGTGAGACAGTAGCTCCCAGCTCCTTACGTTGAAGAATGGGGTTGAATGCTGCAGGACTGAGGATACTAGTATGCAGGAAAGATTTATCCATAGTTAGATGAAAGTTTGCAGCAATGTGTGTTAGATCGCCTCCCCCTGAATTCCACAATGTCATGCTTGATACCTGGTTCAAACTTTCTGGTTGCTAGAGAGTAACTATGTTAGGCTATTGCAGGTACAGGAACAAAGTTTAGAAGCATCTTATAGTCTAACAAATGATGTTCTAAGTTTTCCTGTACTGCAGTCTACTTCATCCAGTGCCGAAAGTGTTTCAAAGTGATGAAAAATTTATGCATTCTATTAAGTGAACTACAGTCCCTGAAAACCTATGCCATTATACATTTGGCAATCCTGTGAGACTCTTCGTTGTGTTTGCAACCCAAGGTATTACTCAGTTTCATCATCAGTGTCTGGAGAAGCTTTGTTAGGAAGTGTCTTCTCTGTATTTTTGTTGATCTGTTAGCTGGAGGAGTGTAAACCTAAAAGAGGAAGTGCGGCGGGGGGGTAAGATCCCATTGGTGTCCATGTTCCAAAGCAGAAGTCACTGTCTGTGACTGTCAGTACCTTCCGTTGTTGTAGAAACAAGCTACTGAACCAATGGAGGGAAGGGAAGCAGCTTTATGACAAATATGAAAAAAAGATGGAAAGGACTGGAACAATAATATCTTGGAATGACTACCACCATTATTCTTCTCATTCATTGTCATGCCCTGTTCTTCTTTTAAGGAGGAACGGGATGAGAGTGGCTGTGAGGAAGAAGGAGGTCAGGAAGAGGAAGAAGAAGAAGATTCAGGAAGTGAGGAAAGCCTGGTGGATTCTGACTCAGATGCTGAAGAGAAAGGTACATGTAGGAGATACTGAGGGACTGACTCTTGCAACAGGCTCATAAACAGTATAGGACCACGATACTTGTTGAAACGTCTCTCTCAAAAAACACAGCTTCCCATCTCACATGCTACTCCCAATGCACATTCATTACTTTGGCAGTATATAAATTAAATAAATGATTTATATAAATAGGGTAGCGCAGGACAGGGTTTGTGATCTTGGTGAAGGCACAGCAGCATCCAGGCGTCAAATTCAATATGAAGGCAGGGCTTTACATTGGTAGAGACTGGGAATGTTGAATGCAGAACCTCCATTGTTATCCATTTCTCACTGCCACTTTTATTATTTGTTAGTTAGCTGGTTTGTTTGTTTGTTTCTTCACTTTATACTCCGCTCCATTTATTGCCAAGGCATTACTGTGGACAGTTACAACAAATGTAATGCAAAACAAAAAATAAGGATAAAAGTATTAAAAGCAACTACAATGAACCTTTAAAAACAAATGGCACAGAGTAATTAGATTATTAAACTCACTGTTGCTAAACTCTTGCTTCCATGTAACAAAAGGAACGTTCCTACACATCAGACCAACTTTAGCCATGATGAATTAGGATTATGGGAGTTAGCTGACAGGATAGCTCAATGAGTTAGATACCTGGCTTTGGAGCCAGAGGTTGGGAGCTTGATTCCCCACTGTGTGTCCTTGAAGAAGAGCAACCCTATGTAGCCTTGAGCAAGCTACACAGTCGTCCTTGAAGAAGAGCAAGCCTATGTAGCCTTGGGCAAGCTACACAGTCACAGAAAAGGAATGGTCAACCACTTCTGAGTACGCTATATCTTGGAAACCTTGGAAGAAATCTCTATAAATCAAAATTGACTCAATGACACATAATTATTAATTATTAGTCTATTAGTCCAGTACATGGGGACATGCAGTCAGCCTTTTTCTCTTCTCACCACTATATCTTGGAAACCTTGGAATCAGTCTCTATAAATCAAAATTGACCTGATGGCACATAATTATTAATTATTAGTCCAGTGCATGGGAACATGCAGTCAGCCTTTTTCTCTTCTCACCATAAGTGCTAGTATTCATCCATACACTAAAAGTAGTAAGCAGTGTGTCGTTATGCTTTGGATGGTGAAATATGTCTTGTCCCCACCACCCCTTTTACGTTATCCAGAAGCCAACTTCCAAGCTGATTTGGCTGACCTAACCTGTGAAATTGAGATCAAACAGAAGCTAATAGATGAGTTGGAGAACAGCCAACGGCGCCTGCAGACTCTCAAACACCAATATGAGGAAAAGCTGATTCTTCTGCAGAACAAGATCCGTGACACTCAGCTGGAGAGGGACAGAGTCCTGCAGAATCTCAGTAAGGGGAAAACTGGATTTTGACAATCTGAGCAGCATGTATGTGTACTGGCCTGGTATTGTAAAAGGCTTTAGATTTCTAATACTGTAGAAGATATGAGTTGAGTGGGAAGGGACTGGTTTGTGGCCTCAAAACCTGGCATTTTTAGCTTCTACCCAAATGTCAGGATTGTTAGGTCCAAAAAAAGGTCAACCTTAGACCAAATTTACAGAGTTTTGCATTTCTGTGTATAACACATCCGTATGGGTCTCAATTCACTTTTTAAATGTTTTAAATGATTTTAATTAACTGTATGTTATGCAGCATTTCTGAATGCAGATGAAGAGAATTACATTCCTGAATGTTTTCCCTAGACAATATTTCCCTGTTTCTGGCAACAGGGGGAATACCACTCTACAACTCTTCTCACCAACACGTGCTCTTTCCCTAGGTTCCATGGAGTGCTACACAGAAGAAAAAGCTAACAAAATCAAAGCAGACTATGAGAAACGCCTAAGGGAGATGAACAGGGATCTGCAGAAGTTACAGGCTGCCCAAAAGGAACACGCTCGCCTCCTCAAGAATCAGTCTCGGTATGAGCGAGAGTTGAAGAAGCTGCATGCAGAAGTGGCAGAAATGAAGAAAGCCAAGGTATTGCCATGGAGACAGTGTGCCTATGTGGATGCAGTCAAGCAGTCTTGACTTGCTGAAACCCAACCTAGAGATGGAGGGACTGTTCATTGAATAGTGTGAAACACAAAAAATGAAGTCGCTTTTCTGTCCTCTTACAGGATTTTTTTTAGTCTTTATGTTTCTTTCCCCCTTCCCCCAAGTTTTTGCCACAGTGACACTCCTCTCTTCAAAAAATAGATTATAATAGGATGCATGGCTGCATAGATATTTCTAAGGTCTTGAGGAAGAAACCTAGTCCCATAGTATCCAGCTAATGATTGTTTAACAAAGGCCACCCACCATCTGGTCCCTGGCTGATTAATTAGGTAGTTTTCCAGCTTATGAGGGATCTGAGCTTGGATCTTTACCATCCAAGGCCAGAGTGCTACCCATACTTTCATCATTGCTTGAAGCCAAACCATATCCATCAGTATTGAATGCAGGCATTGCACTGACAGAAGCTGCAAGCAAAAGCAAATGGAGGTGATCCCTCTTCCTCCTTAAGCCTGTCCACTTTCTAGAAATCTGTTATGGAGGGCTGGGAAATCCTGTAGGGGAGGGAGCCAAAAACCAAACCAAAACAAATCCCAATACTCTTACAAATTGGATTTAGACCTCCATTTGTGTCTCCCATACACAGAAGTCACAGCCCTCAGGGCAAGGCTGTCTTTCCTTTTCTGCCTGATATTGAGTCATCCTGTACCATGTAATTGACAGGTGGCACTGATGAAACAAATGCGTGAGGAGCAACAGAGACGGAGATTGGCAGAGACCAAGAGGAACCGAGAAATCGCCCAGCTGAAGAAGGAGCAGCGCAGGCAGGAGGTAGGCAGGAGTGCTGTCTGTGGCACGCTCAAGCTTTCTCAACTTTGAGGTGCCTTTTTGCAGTAGAACACAAAAATCACAGGTTATTAAGAGAAGCAAATGGAGGAGAGACCCAGTGAGGTACAGTGGGGTCTCGACTTACGAACTTAATCCGTATTGGAAGGCAGTTCTCAGGTCGAAAAGTTCTTAAGTCGAATCTGCATTTCCCATAGGAATGCATTGAAAACCATTTAATCCGTATCTGCTCTTTTCGTCCATACAAACTAATGGGAAGCTGCTATTCCGCCTTCTGCCACTAGAGGGGGATATTTTTTCTTTTTTCCTTTTAACCTAAGATGACTTAGCTTTTAAAAAAAAGGAAAAAAAAGAGTTCGTAACTCGAATCTAAGTTCGTAAGTCGAGTCCATATATTCCTATGAGAGCAGTTCATAAGTCGAAACGTTCGTATTTCGAGCCGTTCATAAGTCGAGACCCCACTGTATGAGTAATTATACAAAGGGGAAAGCTGATTTTATGAGGGCTCAGCTTTTTAATTTCCAGGAATTTTTTTTAAAAAAAGCCCACATGTCCAGCTCACACATCCTCTTTGCTGCTGAATCTGACTATACACTACAATGTCTGCGTACATATTTTGAGCCCCAGGTAAGAGCTTCTAGTATTACCAAAGTACCTGCTCAAGTACAACTATCTCTCTTCAGAGGTCCTCTTCATGCATGCAGCTGAATTTGTGGATGGCAGAGACATAGCCAAGTGGGTATATGCATGGGTATATGTCTGGCTGCTACATTGTCATTTATAAATGCACAGGGAGGTTGCAAAGTAAGCTGTGGTAGCAGAACCTAATGAATGTAAGGTAAGTGAATCATCTGGGCATGCAAAGCTGACAGGTGCAGAAAAAAAAGAATAGTATTAAGTATGCTTCTAGTATTCCAGATACACAGAGTTTTCAGGAAGAGTGCATTTCTTCAAACTGAATAAAGTGTTGCTATTTCTCTGTGTTTGTAGTTCTACACTGTTTTCTCTCCCACCCCGCTCTGCTCTTTTTGAAAGTACTGGTTGCTTTGTGGCATCAAAGAAAATTTCAAATAGAAACTATTAATTGAAGCAGACATATCTCTTAATAATTAAGATAATTAATCACCACTAGATGGCTTGCTAAAAGTTTTCATGAGTAAAATAACCACTGTATTGTTGTTGTTATTTCTAGCAAGATAGCAAATCTGAAGTATAACACTATTTGCTCCATATACATAGAGTGGCATTCTGAGGGAGATATATGGTATTTTAAGAAACAGGCCGTAGCAGAAAGTTAGACCTGTATGCCATTAATTTAAAAACGTATTACTGTACCGCGTTAATTTTTATATACTGTTATGTACTATAATAGGAAAGTGACATTGTAGGGATGCAAGTTGATATTAAAATTATCTGTTTAAATGCCTAGTTTGTTGTAGTGAAGGGAGTGACTGGCTAGGACTCGGGAGAGCTGAGTTCAAATCTCTACTCAGCCATGTAAACTCATGATGGTGGCGGGTGGTGGTGGAACTGGTAAAGCCACTCCTTAAATACCTCACTTACTGTATTTTACAGTGTATAAAATGACACTTTTTCCTAAAATAATTAGAGGAAAAATTGAGTGTCGTTTTATACACGGAAGGAAGCAGTCATGCGTGCGAGCGCGCTCAGGCGCTTCTTGCTGCCACAGCCACCGCCACTGCCCAATTGCCTCTTCCAGAGCTCATGGCTTGTCCTCTCCGGTGGTTCCAAGGCAGCAGGAGGAGGAGGAGGAGGTGAAGGAAGCCACCGCCACTGCCCAATTGCCTCTTCCGGTGGCTCATGGCTTGTCCTCTCCAGTGGCCCCAAGGCAGCAGCAGCAGGAGGCAGCGGAGGTGAAGGAGCATTCACACGCGCTCAGGCGCGTCTTGCTGCTGCCTTCGCCACCCACCCGATCACCACCTCTAGTGGGACTGATGGGCTCAGCTCACACTGCCTTGTCCCCTCCAGTGGTTGAGGTAGGAGGAGGCAGAGGCGGAGGCAAACAAGCACTCTCGCGCGCTCGGGCGCCTCTCCCTGCGTGGCCAGATCACCTCTTGCTCGGGGGGGGGCCTCTCCCTGCGTGGCCAGATCACCTCTTCCCATGATCTCCTTAAGGCAGGGGACAAGGCAGCAGTGTGAGCTGGAGGTGAGCTCCGTTGGCAGTCGCACTGGAGGAGGTAAGCAGGCCGGCAGCAGAGACAGCAGCAGCAGCAGCGGCAGCAGAGACAGCAACAGCAGGAGGAGACAGAGGTGAAGGAGCAGCTGCCCATTAACTGCTGCTCCACCTCCATCAAGGGTCAAAATTAGGGGGTCATTTTATGCATCGACGGGGTCGTATACACGGTAAAATAAGGTACTTAAAATCATTAGTTGAAGCCAAACTGATATTGCTGACTTCCAGATGACCTGTGGTTTCTCCCACCATGTCTATAGTTCCAGATTCGAGCACTAGAATCTCAGAAACGACAGCAGGAGATTGTTCTGCGCAGGAAGACTCAGGAGGTGAGTGACAGTATTACAAAGATGACAAATGCTGAATATCGGCTCACAGAAAAACAGTTCCCTTGTCCTTTTCTGCACAGAAAACCTCACAGGTTTTTGCATATTGCTCCTTATATTTTAGTTTCCACTATTTTAAACTGTATGGACAATCTGTCTGTCTGTCTGTCTGTCTGTCTGTCTGTCTGTCTGTCTGTTATATTTTTATTCACCCCAATAGTGAAGAGGCACCTCCTGGGCAGTATACAAATAGACAGGATATCAAATTACGAACAACAGCAAAATAAACAAACGTATTAATAATCAACAATATAATACAAAAGCATTGAAAATACAAAGAGTACAAACTAACAGATCTAATACATCACCTCTAAATAGTAACCAAAACATTGTTGAACAACTAAACCAGCTGATTAACTGTTATGGCAGAGTGCCCTTGTTCAGCTTGAACAATTGTTCTGAATGACTTATATTAAATAATAACCGATTTCCAAGCTGCATATTTAAAAATGCTTTCAATTTCAGAACTGCTTCTTCTATACACAATTTAGTACATGATTTCGAACCGTGGCAAAACCTGTGGTCACCAGTGCATGAGTGCCAGTTGCAAGGTTATCTCTGTCCATATAGGCTGTAGTAGGTATATCCACCTAAGCTGATACTTTCACCACCCTTATTAAGGTGAGGAAAGGAGCCATTTTCCTCTAGAGCACAAGGCAAAGGCATTCCAAACCACCATTTGTACCTCCATTAATAATGGTGGATTGAGGACTATGAGCTGCTGCTACAGCGCCTTTCTGAATTGGCTGACTGCCATTTAACTGGAGGGACAAACTACCATCAACAAGTATCTCCACCTTGTCTGTACTGAGTCAGTTTGTTGTCTGTCATCCAGTCTGTTACCTAACCCCAGGATCATTTCAGAACTTCATTTGCCTCCCCTGTACTAAAGGAAAAGCAACAGTAAAGGCATTTTGGTGAGATCTCAGCCTGCTTCTTTAGATAATGTCTCCCAGTGTTTCATTGGGAAGCTCAAACGCATGAGGGTTAAAATGGAGGCCTGTTGAATCCCATAGAACAGCTGTCATGGGGTTGGGTAGCAGTCCCCCAAAACCACCTTCTGGAATTAGCCTTCCAAATTAAAGCAGAACCACCGCAGGACAGTTTTGCCATGTTCCAACTGAAACACTCTGTTCAGAAGGATACCATCCAGAAAGCCACTAAAGAGGATCCATTTTTCTTACTGTCAAGGTCTCTGCTCTGCGCCGCCTGGCCAAACCCATGTCCGACCGAGTCGCTGGGAGGATGAACCAGAAGCAAGCCATGGTGGATTCAGGTGCTGAAGTGTCCACCAGCACCACTTCCTCAGATCCAGAGTCGGGTTCTCGTTCTGTCTCCAGCATTGTGCGCCAATGGAATCGGAAAATCAACACCTTTCTAGGAGACCCACCTTCTTCCACAAATGGCGCTCGAACTATCAGGTCAGGCATGGGGGAAGTTAGCCGTTTGAGTGTCGTTGATAGTAACCGAGAAGGGTATCTAAAACTGAAATGCTGATTTGTTTTAAATAGTTTCGGAACTGATTTTATTTACTGTATCCCACTCTGGAAAGAATATACTTCCTATATTAAATATAAAAAAGTAACTTATAGAGATTTCTTCAAGGGTAGTCCTCTGCCTTCAGGGACACCAGCTTGTCTGTGCCTTGATAGAATTTAGAGTGACTCCAGTCCCCATCTCTAGGGAGTGAGGAAGGCTCTATTTACAGGCTCATACATTGGTCTGAAACATTTAGGGCAATGGCAGGATCATGCAGTACAGTTCTTACTAGATTATTTTTTTTCTTTGCAGGAAGAAATTCCCAAAGAAGGGGACAAACCAGACATTCAGTAAGACAGCCCGGCTGAAATGGCAGTCACTGGAGCGCCGGGTCTTCGATATTGTCATGCAAAGGATGACTGTCATCAATTTAGAATCAGATATGGAGCGGCTCATCAAGGTGAGGGAAGGAGCCACTTTCCCTTAGAGCACAAGGAAGAGGTGGATGAGAACTGAAGTCCTTACCTTGTGTTCTCCGTTCCAGAAACGTGAAGAACTGTCCCTGATGCAGGAGATGCTTCTAGGGAAGAGGGAGAAGCTGCAGACAGAAAATCCTGAAGAGCAGAAGGGACTTCAAGAGCTGAATGAGGAGATAGAAGTGCTGGCAGCCAACATTGACTACATCAATGACAGCATTTCAGACTGCCAAGCTACCATCATGCAGATTGAAGAGACAAAGGTACGCCCTGTCCATTAGTGAGGGAAGCAGTTCAGGAGAAAGGCACTCTGTAGTTCTGGGCCTGGAGATGAACTAAGGCTAGCTGGCTGCCTGGCTGGGCAGGACTGGTCTAGTTGCTTATTGTGTCATAAATAAATCAGGAAGGGTTGTGTTTTCTGATCTTATTGATTTAAAACGTTGACTGATTTTCCAAAACCACTTGAGTTTTGGTGGGCAGCATCAATGTGCTACTGCTGTCTTTACCCAGGGATGGGGGCATGGAGAGGGAGAATATAAGACAGGGATTTCAAAAAGAATTTACAGAGTTGGGAGCAGCCTGGAACTCTGCTGTTTCATCTGAGAACCTTGCAACATTGTACCTTTAGAGCCATAGAAACTTGGCAACTGTGTCATAAAGTATCAGTGTAGTATTTGGGAGCTGCAGATGGAACAGTTGAAATCAGTCAGACGAACACCTTGGATACCTGTAGAGGACCCAAACGGATCCCTTCCCTCAGGCCTTCTTATTCTGTCACTGTTCCCGTGGGTCTCTCCTTCTTGCTAGGAAGAACTGGATTCTACGGACACCTCTGTGGTGATCAGCTCCTGCTCTTTGGCTGAGGCAAGGCTTTTGCTGGACAATTTCCTTAAGGCATCCATAGACAAGGTAGGTCAAAGCAAGGCCTTTTGTGGGGATAAGAGATTTGATCACCGCAGCTTATTTCAAAATAAGCCAGTTAGCTCTTTGATTGGAAGAGGTATTGAACCTTAGAATAAATTGCTTTAGAATGGGGTCTATTTTGCAAGACACAGAACTTCTGCATTTGGATTCTCCTTCTATGCCCTGTACTCCGCCCAGCTGTATTTTACTGAGAAATGAAAACTTCTCTGATAGGCTAAGCATGACTTGGATTATTTGAGTCCAACATTCTGTTTTGGTTCTCTTTGTAGGAATAATAATTTGGGCATAAGGCTGCTTGCTAGTTTCAACTAAAATAGACCTATTGTATCAACTGCTGAATATTAAGTCAGTACTTATATAATGGGTTTATCTACAGTAGTCATGCCTAGCAATCACATTTAGGCCATAAACATGAAGCTGTACTATATGTTTGTCCATAACTTCAGCACAGATGTGTTGAAGAGGCTGAATTTAGAACCTGTATTGCTTCCATTTTTCAAAGCACTGGAAAATTATCACTGATACACTTTCTTTAAATTACCCAATTTCTGCAAACAGAGCCTACAGGTAGCCCAAAAGGAAGCTCAGATCCGGCTGCTAGAAGGGCGCTTGAGACAGACAGACGTGACTGGCTCCTCCCAAAACCATCATATCCTAGATGCCCTACGAGAAAAGGCAGAATCCCACCCTGAGCTACAAGCACTTATCCAGAATGTGCAGCAAGGTGGGGTGTTTGAAATCCATTTTCCGCTATAGGTGGAATTAGCTGTTGAACGTAACAATATTCCCATATATCGATAGTTTCTTCCCCATCACCTTTCCTTTCAGTAAGAGGGTCAAGCTCCTTGTGAGCAACAAGCAAATAGAGGAAGAGCTATCACAGCAGAAAAGCTTCAAGCTGCTGTTTGATGACTGCAGCCCTCAAATAATTGATGTGGCCATCTGAACCTATCTCTGTCTTAGCCAGCTTCAGCTTGGCAAAGCTGGTTTAAACCTACAGCCTTTGTCCTGGGTTCATCCCTATGGTGACGTGGTGATCTCTGTCTGCAAATTGGACACAAGTCCTCTTTTAACAGACACATGATTAAGAATGGCCTTCTTGTGTCTTTTGATGAAGCCGTGTTGACATTTTCTGATCAGTGCCAAGGGCCCATGTGCCAGTGGGTATAATCCAGATTTGTTTTTCTTTTTGCACAGAGAATGGGTATGCCAGCACAGATGAGGAAGTCTCTGAATTCAGTTTGGCATCAGAGGGGAGGTGAGTATTCCCAAGGGAGCAAAGGGCAAGTGCATATGGCTCCCACTTCCTCCCGTTCTCTGGTGACTTTTAAAAGAATTGTGCAGGGGATTTCATGCCTGTTGACCAGTAGAGTTACCCAGGACTGAGGCATCAAAGACCTGCATTATTACTTTTCTAACAAATAACACCAAAATAAAAATAGAATTCCTCTTAGGGTGGAATTGTGGAATGGAGACCCTGTAAGAGTAGGTGGACCCTCTGTAGTTTCTATCAGATTAAAATAAACCTGCATATGCTACAACTCTCTATGTGTCTTACAGCTTTTCCCAGTCTTTCTCCATGAAAGGTTCTGCTAGTCAAGATGACTTCAAGTGCAGGGTAAGTGGAAAACTGCAGCCTGGAAAACATGGCTGCATGCATTTTTGTGTGTATATGGATGTTTGTTTTTATACATTTGCCCACCACCCTACAGAGAATGGTTCCAGGACAGTTTACATAAAGGAGAGATGGAGATAGTCATCATGTGACCAAGGCTTCATAAACAACAAGACTATAGTCAGGAAAGAGTTTTTTTCAGTATTCATTTTTGGGTTGGCAAGGGTGGAGTAGGGAGTGTTGTCGTTGAGTGGGTTTTCTCTGTCATTCTTGCCAGGATGGGCTTTCTCAGGAATGTATCCCAAATGGACAGATTTACAGTTGACCATATTTAAAGCAGCTCATTTTTAAAATTCTGCTCTGAACATGGCCTTCTATGAGCCTGCTTGGGAATGTTACAGAACGGATATCAGAAGGTTTAGGTAAAGGACAGTGACAGATTTCTACCATGTGGTTTTACTTTGCACGTTATCATTTGTACCTCTCTCTCCCTTCCTTTTGTGGCTCAAGCCAGATGGTTTTTAAGTGACTTTAATGCTCTTCAGACGTACTATATCCCCTAATTTTATGACTGATTAGGAGACCTCATGCATATGTTGCTTTGGCTTCCTCTGCCATTCTTACCTGAGCTTGAATTAAAATCTTTGTGCTACATCTAGCTAAGTGACAGTCCTGTTATACATCCAGATGTTTGTAGTTAAGCTTTCATCCTGCTCTAGTGGTCAGCAGTGAAACGAAATCAAGTTGTGTGTCTCTGTCTGTCTCTCCCAACCAACACTCTGTGGAATAAGCCTTTCATCAAGAGAAAGCACCACCACCCATCTCCTGGGAAAACCACTTAGCTGAGTACCCTTTGAGTGGCCTGTTAAAGTATGGTAAGAAGCAAGGAGTCATATCTGCTTTATCAGGGCTCTTCTGTATAATATGTGAGGTGCTTTCTGTTGCAGTCATATCAAACTCAGAACAAAATAGCAAGGTCCCACAAAATTGCACAATTGATGCACAAGTTCAGTATTTCTGAGTGCAAAGTGTCTGAGAAATCTTAGCATTTTATTTCGAGTTTTCTGCAGAGCACATTTGGGTGCTGCTTGCAGTGGTGACCATTTAATCTCTCCCACTCTGTCATGCTGGCTGGTGCTCTTGTCTTCTGGGGCTTTTATTCTTTGTCTTCCGGGGCTTTGTTTTAGGGGGAGCCCAAGCTCTCTGGCCAGATGAAGGCTGTATCAGCAGAGTGCCTGGGGCCTACACTGGACATCTCCACTAAGAACATCACCAAATCACTGGCATCCCTCATGGAGATCAAAGAAGATGGTGTGGGTTTCTCTATTCGTGATCCCTACTACAAAGAGAAGGTCTCCCGCACGATTAGCCTGCCCATCCGAGGGAGCACATTGTAAGTCATGACAGTGTAAGCAAGGAGCTTTCTGCAGGTTCTACGGGATCAAATGTGGCTGACCTTTTAGAATCTACTACTTCTGTATTACTTAAATGTACCTAGACCCCTCTCTTGTGGGCAGCATTTGAGTCAAATATTGACAGTCAAAATTTCTTCATCTTTATTGGGTGGTGCAGAGATGAAAAGTGAAGAGGAAGCAATTTGTTCTGTGTTTTTCTTGGGCCATAATCTGCTTCCTGCTTTGCTGGAAAATTTTTTGCATAACAACAAGCAGCAAGGTGGAGGACTTCCTGCTTCATTCAGTTGTTCATTTTTGTGAACTTCTCCCCTCAGTTTTTCACAGGTCTCACTTAGGTGGCAGTTCCAAGTGTTCCCTGTTTATGAAGAGAACTGTCTTAGAAAATTAGGGACCTTTCCCCCCTTGAATGCTCTAACCTGGGTGATATCAAGTGCATATTTTGTATCAGTCCTGAACAGATAAGAATTAGTACAAGCTAAAGCAAAATATGTCTGTTTCTGTGGACATCAAAAGTGCTGAAAACTGCAGTGACAGACCAGTCCCCCAGAATGAGGGCTGCTTCAGGAAAACTGAACTTTTGGTCTTCTGGATATTTTTGATCGCCAACTCCCATCAGCCCCAACTGGCATGGCCAGTGGATACTGGGAGTTGCAGTCTGACAAAATCTCCCTCATCCCTGCTTTAATAAAGACCATGTCATCTTGTAGTATACACAGGTGATTACAATCTGAATGAACTCCCACATAAAAAACTTCTGGACAAGCCAAGCAGACATGAGGGATGCTTGTGTGTCTTGGTTCCTATTGAGGAAGTGCTCTCCACTAAGTAATTTCCCCACCTCTGATGCAGGTTGTGCCGCATTCTGTGCAAACTGTTTGAACCGAACAGCCATCTGGACAGGTTTCAGGCATCGCAGTGATAACACAGAGCATGAGATGGAAAGCATGGCTGCTGCTAATGATAGCTGTCTCTCTCTCCTAGCCCTAGACAGTCCCGTGCTGCAGACACTTCACCTCTCACAAGGAGGAAGTCATATGACCGAGGTCAACCCATCAGGTGAGTGTTTGCAGGAGGCATTCTCTGTGCGTGTATGAGAGAGAGAGATAACACAATTGGCACATTCTTGTGCTTTGCTTCTGATCCAGGAACTGGATTGCTCTGTAGCATTGGCTATATCTGTGCTGTTAAAAGATGGTACAGTAAGAAGATGCCAGCAAGAGATAGAGTCCCTAACCAGCACAAACTCTTATTTTTTTTCTTGCCTAGAAACCCAGATGTTGGATTCACTCCTCCTTCATCCCCTCCCAGCAGGCCACGCAATGACCGCAATGTCTTCTCTCGCCTCACCAGCAATCAGAGTCAAGGCTCAGCTCTAGACAAGTAAGATTAGTTCTGAGACTGAGAGGATGACTATGTGGGCATTTAGTCCATTCTTTGGTCCACTGCAAGAATTGGCTGGTTTGCTATTAAAAATGGTTACCAGATTATCTCTTTGCTAGTGCAAACTGGCCTGCCTCCAGAGTGGTTCTATCCATACCTCACCTGGTGTGGGTAGGATCAGTATGGTTTGGATTGGTTGCATGTAATTACTGGAACCGATCCAAAGCAAGCCTTCTGGTTTGAATTTGACAATATTGTGAAGTGGTTTAATAAAGAAGCCACTTCAGGATATTGACAAATTAATCACTTCCTCTGCTTCTTCACAGAGGGGCAGAGGAAGTGAAAATTTTTTATAAGCCTGTAAAAAAATTGTTCTTAAATATACTGTCTTAAACAATATTTTCACTTCTGCTTCTCTGACGAGGAGCAGAGGAAGTGTTCAAATTGCCAGTATCCTAAAGTGGCTCACTTATTAATCCACTTCTTGATATCAGAAATAGAAGGAAGCAAACCTAATATGGTCGCTTGATCTCTGATATACCATTGGAATGCGAGGACTGCACCATATGGTGTATTGCACCTCCATGCAACACAAGTGACCCTGTTTAGCCTGCACCACCTCACTCCAAAAGAGCCCATGCAGTTACATCCTTAGGGAAACTTGTCCTTGGAAGGATGGAAAACAATAGCAGTTGTAAGTTACAGCTGCTAATACTAGGAATTGCTTCCTCTCACATATCCTTTCACTCTACATGTAAAATTGTGTTTTTCCTTTGTCTTATGAGAGACAATCTAAATTTTCTTGGACTTAGCAAAACTTGTGCCTCTTCTATTAAGGCATTGAAGTGGCACAAGATTACCTTGAAACCTCCCAGAATTGGCAGGGAGCCTGAATGACACTCTCAAGGTCTCCCCCCCAACAGTCCTCCACCTAAGTCCAGGCACTTTGGTCAATCTGTGCCTAACGGTGGAAAATACCCTAATCTTCCCCACTGCCTGTTGTTTGAATGACTTCCCCAGTGCACTGAGAAACAGGGGTGGTGATTTATGATCCTCTTTGCAGTCTGTCATGGCCCTCAGCCTTGATGTCCGTTTTTCTCAGCTCCATTAAGATTGCCTTTTTGTGGTGGGAGGCGGATCCACCTTTTGGAATACAGAGGCAAGTTGCTCAAGCCTTCCAGGTAATTACATTAGCCGGAATCCTATTGGTGATTTGCTCTTGCATCAACGAATGTTGGTCATGTTCCGAAGTGTCTGGCAGTCACATGCTTGGGCATGTATCTTGGTACACAATTAACCCCTTGTTAATGAATGGCAATTTGCCCTCCAGATGATTTGTGCATTTCCGTTATGGGAGTGTAAATTGGCAATAGGATTCTGGACATTCGGTTGCTCTATTAAAAGCACGAAATCTCAGGGTAGTACCACACATATCCTCCTGCCTTTCAAATATCTGTGTGCCTGCCTATAAGTTCCTACAACGTGCTTTAGCTTCAGTAGAGTCTCTTGAATGACAGGTCCAATCACTGATACAACTTCAGTTTAAGATAACAGGCTGTTTCTAACATAACCACCTTAAGCCAAAGAGAATAGTTACTTCAACTAAAAATGAAGCACCTTTCAGGAGCTGCTTAGTATCAGCCACTCAAACATGCCATCTTATAAAGTGGCCGGTGTGATCCTACTGTCCATAGCCCAACGGAGAGGAAGTATAGAAATCATAGTAGATGTGGCTGAGAAGTTGGCCTCCATACTGTACAGGAGCCCTGAGTAGGTATTGCTAGATGTACGCCTATTCTTTTATTTAGTGGAAGAACTATACAGGCAGAGTCATTCAGGGCTCATGACATATTTTTTCTTAGAGCATGTTTCTAGCCCTTATAGCTGCAACAGTAGGCTTTCAGTAATGTGGTGAAATGCCTGGTGAAATCACAGACTGTTTCTGCTCCTACCTCCTCTACTTCCAAGCCCTCTCTGTCTATGGTCTGGTGTCCTCTGTCTGCCCTGCTAGCTTGGATGCGATAACCACCTTCCCTTTTCTGACTTTTTTGCTGCTGCTTTTCCTTCTCCTGGTTTTAATTACCCATAATCCTGCTAATTTTCTGTCCCTAGGTCTGATGACAGTGACTCCTCTATCTCGGAGGTGCTGAGGTATCAAACTTACTGTTTATTATATAACTTTTCTTAGCCTTTCTCTATCTTACTCTTTCCCCCTTCCTGCATTTAATACCTGCATGTAACTCAACCCTGTGCGGTGTCTCTTGTGTTCTGCTTTGCAAATGCTGGGTTTGCCTTTCCAGCCGATTGTGGAATATTAGGCTGAACTAACACGCCACCTGGAGCAACATCGCTTCTTCCATCCTATTCTGGTTCCTACTCTGCTCTCACTAAGACTAGTAACTCCTGCCATATAGCTGGGGCACATAATGTGGTTAAACACCAAGCCATCAGCACACATTTCTCTGAAAGCTCCAGTCTGTTTCTCCAGGACTTAGAAATTGCTAGGCTATGGCATGTCTGTTAGGACTGGACCAGCAACACACCTCTCCTGATAGTGCATGTCTATAGTAGTGGGTAACCAAGGTTAGGAGCTAACCAATTGCATGTGTTATTGTTGTGCCCTCGTTTCATGAGCCTGGCTTTTAAACAGTGTCATTGTTTGGGATCATGAACAGTTTGCTATTCCTCATTGTGGTGAAAAAAGTTTGGAAAATATGCAGACAGCTCCTCTCTGATGCTCAAGAGTCATGAGCCATTTAATTGAAAACCCCACCTATCAGTCCTGCTTGCATGAAAGCTCTGCTCCCGTGTCTTTCTCATGTACCACTTTTTCCCTAAGGTCTTTTGGAAAAATTCAGTGTTATAGAAGTTAAATATGTGCATGTCATACGTATTTTTGTAGCTTTCATAATATGTTCCAGCCTACTGTGTATGTTTGAGTAAGTCTCAGTGGAGAACTTTAGACCCCACCAGTTATTTAGGCTACCGAGTCTTATACAGTACTATGCTCTGGACAACAATGTGTTCTTCTTCTTTCTACATAACCTAGATATATAGCAAACTTGTAACACTAGTCATTTCCTTAAAAATGAAAGCAGAAGAGGTGTGGGTGGGTAGGGGCTTGTGCGTGCAAAGGAGGAGACTCTGTTGTGCTAGTTTATTTCTTTCCACTAGGAAAGGGAGTGAAGCTATGCTTGTGCACATATTTTGGCAACTAAGGTGTTAAGCATTCTCTAAGTACTAATAGGCAGCTGTTGCTTAAGACTCCTTGGAGACCCCTTGTGGATGTCAAGAAACTATATATTATAATGTAATACCATTGATGTTTGTTGCATTTAGTATAACTTATACATAAAGCAAACATGCACAAGCAAAATGAAAGTGTTTAAAATACAAACTGGATGCTAATGATATGACTGGGGACTTCTAAACTGTCTTATTCTTTATTTGGCTACTGAAGCACGATACTTCCCATTTACATTATATACAGTATTTTTCATTGGTTCAATTTTGCATCATACAACAAATATTAACAAAAAATACTAACGAGGACAATTCTTCTTGACTCTTGCAATCCTGTGCATATCTAGCAAGCCAGAGTTGGGCGTGTGTGTTGTGTAGGCCCCAAGCAATAGGTGCAGAAACTTGTAACATGTGGTGTTGATGTTTTGAGGAGCTGATGGTCCTTAAGAGCATTAACCTGAGTCTGTATTGCAAGCATCTTGGCACAGCAAAATCTATACCTGACTCCCTGATAGTGATGACTAGGGGGAGGATTTCTATGGCATGTCCTTTTTTTCCTCCCTGCAACCTGTGTTTAAGTTTATGGGTAGGTTTGAACATGTTTGTAAGTAATCTGGTGAGAAAGGCCGGATCACTCATAAACATGTCTGAACTTGCTTACGGGTTTAAATGTAGATTGCAGAGAAATGTCATAAAAATTCTTCCCCTCAAGATGACAGTGAAATCCCTTCTTGCTGGTGTCCTAGAGATCCTGGAGGATTGGTCTGAAACAGTACTGTGCTCTGGCTTTCTCTCTCTCTCTCGAGCTTCAAGGAGCTTTATGAGGCCTCAATGGCAAGAGGGCTATGCAATGCCCACCCAAGCCATACAAGACTGTCACAAAGTTTGTAATGTATCTATATTAGTCTTCCTCTGCTGGTTCTATTTGCTGTTTACTGGTTTTTCAGACTTTAATGTTGGCAGTGTTCTGTGGACCCTTTGTAGAAACAGTAGAAGTGAAATGGCTTAAATCAGTTATAGCAAGATATTGCCGAATTTTCGTCTTGGTTTTCCCCAACAGTCCAACCCCATAAGATCTTCCCAGCTGCCCCACCTGCCTGCTACAGCTGGCAGGGACAGGGGACAAAAAGGTTGGCTACCGGGTCTTATACAGTACTATGCTGGCAGGGACAGGGGACAAAAAGGTTGCACTGTGGCAGCTGACTACCCTTCTCACTTAGACTTCATCAGGGAAATGGCATCTTTCCCTTCATCACTCCTGCATTGATGCTCTTGACCTCACCTCCTTCCTTGTTTGAAAGGGCTCAATCTTTCCCAGTACCCAAATGAATGTGTATCAGACAGTAAGTTACCAGAACAGGGGAAGAGAATTCTGTGATGCCCCCCCCATCTCGACCTGTCCTTTAAACCAGTGGTTCTTAACCTTACCTTGACCTGTCCTTTAAACAATCATTGTCTGTTCACCTGCTGTTCCTTGCCTGTCCCCATTTATTCAAAATTGTCTGTTCACCTACTGTTCCTTGCCTGTCCCCATTTATTCAAATTAGAGAATACATTCATCCTGCAGTGTTATTACAGAAGTGGTTAGTGAACAAAATTGAAGTCTTACCAGCCACAGGGTAGGGCAGTTATGCCATGCATTGTTTGAGTAGCGACATACTTGAGGCTGGGCTCTGATCTGTGAAGGCAATACATTGTTATATCATCAGTCATGTGCTTCTTTTAACAGTTGACATCATGCCCTCATTGTACCAAATAGTGTTTAAATAATTGTGAATTTTTGAATCATGTGATCATTAAGATCAGGGGGGAAAGATGCTGTTTATGTAGATGCCAGTGCCTCTTGGCAATGTTGCTATCAAAAATAAAGCTACCATATCTTAATTCAGTTGCATCCTGACCTTGCACAAAGAAAACCTGAGATTCCAGTTGGTATGAACTTTTCAGAAGCAAGGCAGCAAATTGAAAATACAGTAACTTTGAGCTGTTGAGAGGGAAAGGGGCTTTGTTTCATTGGCAGGGCACCTGCTTTGCATGCAGAAGGCTCAGTTTTATCTCTAATGTCTGGAAAGACTCCTGTCTGATCTGCTGTCTGTTTAGATTCCGTCAAGCAGGGTGGAGTTCTTACAACAAGGGAGAAGTTTATGTGTGATCTTCTACTACTCTATTCAGTGTTCACATTCAGATAGGTGTTACCAGTTTACAGAGTGGCCATAATGCCAGAGGAAGACACTGTATATCTTCGTTATTATTGTCAAACACCATGCCTAGAACCTTGTGATATGTTCTTCAGCTTGATTCTGCATCTACTTGATACAGATCTAGCTCCTTTAGCAGGCCATGTCTGCCTCCTGAGCATTGCCTGGTGCATGCTTGTCAAGATTTCTGCTTGTTCTAGCTGTCAGAAGCACCACTTTCAACGTCTCCCTTTTTCTCCCATGCAAGGGGCATCATTAACCCAGTGGGAGGTTCCAGGAGTGCCCGAACAGCCCCACTGCAATGCATCTCTGTGGCAGAAGGACATACCAAGCCTGTGCTGTGCCTGGATGCTACTGATGAATTGTTGTTTTCTGGATCCAAAGGTGTGTGTGTGTGTGTGTGTGAAAGGACAGGAATCATATCTGACACTTTAGGCCTAACACTGGTCCAAAAGTTATGACAATGGTTTGAAATAACCTTTTGTGACACCTTGTATGTATTACATCGTTCCTGTGTGCCCTTAAATTGCCCCCAACTCCCTGGGATTTTATGGATTAATGATTTCCAAATGGTCCTATCATTAACTCAAGTGTCATGAACATGTGTATTCAACCAAGTCCTTTTTAAATACATCACACTTCCACCGTTTTCTGGAACAAGGAGGTATCATGTATTACTGCACATATAGAGATAAAGCTGGGAGTATATATCCTTGGAGGGTTTTTTTTCCAGTGGTAAAGTTATTAGTTGGCAACCTGTAGATCCTTAAAGGCCATGTCTTTCCCTAGAAAAAAAGGAAAATGTGCATCTGTTGGAGTTTTTAAATCTGCTGTGTGTGTTAAAGCTTCCTGCTTATGGACATTTTTAAATGTTAGATACACTTTAACAGATAATGTTTTGGGTTTTGGTGGAGCATGGTGTCTTCTGCTGTTTATTGAGACGCAAGACCAACAATGACACAACTTAAGTCTTCTTTTCTTTCCAAAGATCGGAGTTGCAAAATGTGGAATTTAGTGACTGGCCAGGAAATTGCTTCTTTGAAAGGCCATCCAAACAATGTAGTCTCCATAAAGTATTGCAGCCACTCTGGCTTAGTATTCACTGTCTCTACCTCTTACATCAAAGTGTGGGACATCCGAGATTCTGCAAAGTGTATCCGCACTCTCACGTAAGTACTTGGAAGCCCTTGTTTTTCAAAGTTTTAATGTGATCTTGTAGGGGGCTTAGGCACAACTGTAGCCATAATTAGCATGGCCATCTATTATGCTGAAACATTCCTTGCATCTTTAGATAGAGATGCATCAATCTGTCACTTTCCAGTTTTTCCACTTGAAGGCTTGTCACTCTCTTTTACATAGGACTTTTCATTTTATAAAAATACATAACATGTATGAATCGTTTATATGGATTTCTACCAATGTAAATCTTTTTCCAAGCATATATGCCTAATATTCTGTACCTGTCCAATTGCTAAATTATGGCTAAAACTTGGATCACATTGTATTGGTACTATTTTATAATCAACATGCTATTTGCTTTCAAACAGACTCATGTGATGCCCATTAATTGCTTCCCAAACCTAAAAGCAAGTATAGATATGTGATTTTTTAAAAGCCAGTTCAGCCCTATGTTCTGATTTAGACCTCAGCTAAATCAGAATGTAGCATGGCAAAAGATTTAGTCCTTTGCCCACCAGCTGTCCTGATGGGAATGACAGCGCCTTTTCCCACCTCAGTCTACAGTGGGAAGAACTCTTGATTATCACTGGGACGATGTCAAGGGTGAAAAGGTTCAAGCCTCTCTTTCCTCATGCCACTGTCCTCATTCAGCTTGTTCCCCCTACAGACAGCTTGGTTGTTTCTAAATACAGTAAAAATAGAAATAGTCTACCATAGCTTACCACATGATAAATGTGGTACTTAGTTTGGCTTTTCCTGCCATCCATAGCTATTTCTGTGTCATTTATTCTCTCTGTCTCACAGCTCATCAGGCCAAGTGATTACTGGAGATGCTTGTGCTGGGACCACTACTCGCACCATCACCAGTGTGCAAGGCGAGCACCAGATCAACCAGATTGCACTTAACCCCACAGGCACCACACTTTATGCAGCCACCGGCAATTCCGTCCGCATCTGGGAACTGAACAGGTCAGAGGGAGAGCTGGAATCTAGGGCTAGGGAGGAGCTGGGATTCTTCACCTTGACTATAGTTCCCATCATGCGGCCGTGCTGTTTGGGTGCAGATGGGGGCTGTAAGTCCAAAACATCATTCTAGCAGATGGTGGGTTGGGAAAGGCTGAAGTAGAGTATCTGAGAGTATTTTACAGAAGGTTATATGGGATATGAGGTGGATTGGGGAAGGATGACCATTAGTATTCTTACTGTCCTGTGGTTTTGTTAGGTGTGCAAATGGAGAACTTTGATCTGCCTGTAGTTCCAAGGTGTGGCAACATTTGGTTTTCTATGTTTCATTTCCTTTGTGTTTTAGGGTTTCCTGTGTGGTTAAAGAGGACAGGTACGCTGGTCTTGCATACCAACCTCTCCCCATAGATAGGTTCTCACCATTATCCCCTCTCTTTTTTTTGCTAGGTTTCAGCCCATTGGAAAGCTGACAGGCCATATTGGGCCTGTGATGTGTCTCACAGTGAACAGAACGCCAAGCAACCATGACCTGGTCATCACAGGATCTAAAGACCACTATGTCAAGGTATTAAGACATAGTGAAGGCACTGTCACCAGCATCCTTAAAACATTGTTCCCTTTCCTCACCCTTGGCAGCCCAGTCCTTCTCTTATCCTCTTCTCTCCATCTCTGTTGGCATGTTTCTCATTTAGTTATCAGTGGGGGGAAAATCAGTGTGCATTCCCGCACCCCATAACTTCAGCTCTTGATACAGTGAATACTGAGTTTGTTCCCTCTGTACTGGCATCCTTTATTTCTTCCAACCTTCAGAAGAGAACCTGTGTCAGATAGAATAACACACCCCAAGCTGTAGAGCTAATCAAAATACAAGTACTTGAGCATCACACTTTAGTCTGAGTGTAGTCTAGAACAGACAGAATAAACAAAGTGGCTAATGTAGGTTCTTTCATTTTCAACCTATCATCCTCCACTTTACCTTCAGCCAGAGAGGAATGGAGCAGGCAATAACTGAAGAAATTGAAGCTCTACCACAGTTAGCATTGATTTACAAGATGCTTGCTGTTCATTGAGAGATGACTTAATTGGAGAACAAAGCAGGAACAGTCCCTAGGACTGTGCTTTCTTCCCGACACAGAGTCCCATTTTTACTACAATTTGAGTGTGATTGATTTTGTGGGGGCTGCATTTTCTGATTGTCTCCTGTTTTCTGTTTTTTGGACAGATGTTTGAGATAGCGGAAGGCATTGGTGGGAATGTTGGCCCCACCCACAATTTTGAACCTCCACATTATGATGGCATTGAATGCCTAGCTATTCAGGGAGATGTTCTCTTCAGTGGTTCCAGAGACAACGGGATCAAGAAATGGGACCTGGAGCAACAGGAGCTCATCCAGGTATGTAAGGGGCACGTGTACGGTTTGGGGCACAGATTCGGAAACCCCAGTTGTTGGGCATAGTTCAACGTCTAGTATTAAGAGGAACACCTACTGTTTTTTTCTGAGTAGAGATTGATGATAACAGTGGCAACTCTTTCAACTCGTCATGTACATGGCCAGGCCAGGATTCTGTTAGCTCATGCAAACACCATTTGTCCATGCTTTCCCTCCCTTCTCTGTGTGAATCTTTTAAAGACCACTTGAATGACTGGAAATCAGTGTCTGATAAAAGAACGTATTTTACACAATTAGCTGCCCCTGCACCAAAACATCTATATAACTCTTTATTTACCTGACTATAATGGTCATCAGGACTGAAGTTCTTTTAAATTTCTTAGTTTTTGTTTATTGCCCAGCTCTGTCTGTTGTGCTTATCTTGAGTACACCTCTATCAGAAGCCTTAGGTGTGTCAGCAGGCCCTTTTTAATTCCAATAATCATATCCCTGTTTCCAGCAAATTCCCAATGCACATAAAGATTGGGTGTGTGCTCTGGCCTTTGTGCCTAGCCGGCCCATGCTGCTGAGCGCCTGCCGTGGTGGAACAGTGAAGGTCTGGAATGTTGATAACTTCACACCTGTTGGGGACATCAAAGGGCATGACAGTCCCATCAATGCTATCTGCACCAATTCTAAGCACATATTCACGGCTTCCAGGTGAGTTTCTTGCTTCTTCTTTGCCTTAGAAGGGTCCTAATTTTCTTGCCCAATTGATCCCATCATATATAGATAAACTGATCCAAATAACAAAGTTTTGTTAGAGGTAAGCTGATTGCAGACCCAGGTGTCTGGTTGAAAGAGGAACCACAAACAGCCATTGCTGTTCACTGAGCCTGATCTGTGATACAGCATTGTGGAATCTGCTAGAGCCATTGACTGTGTTCCTTGGAACCAAAGGACAGATTTCTTGTGACAGTTCCTCATACATCCCCAATGAGATCTTGCACCTTCCTTGTTCATACAGTCATTTCCAAGAGTGATTTCTTCACCACTTTACAAAGGAGTGCCTTTTTATACCTCATGACTAGCACTTGGCAACTCAAGAATCAAATCAGACATGCCATTAGAAGAAGAAAACACACCAGGAGTTCAGCCATGCAATCCACTCCTAGCATATTTGAATGCAACCTAGGCTATAGTTTAAATTTTGATGACCCATCAGAAAGCAAAACAAGCTATTTTGCAAGCTAAGAGATCAAATGACCTAATGGGGTTGTGATCGGTCAGCTTTTAACACTTAAGGAATTTCTGTTTCTAATGATGAGCTCTTTGTGGCATCTAGTTCAGCACCAACTCAAAAAATACAGGCACACCTCCCTGACTAAGGGTTGAGTCATGTGGCTTATCTCACTGATCTCTAAGTGGAAGTAGCCACAATATCTTTCTGACAGAGGGATTCTGACGGAGTTGGGAGTAAGGTTTGACAAGAATACATCCCCTGGGAGGGCCACCCAGATCACAACACTCACTTTCTTCCCTTATGGAGTCTCAGATCTCCTCTTTTCCGACCATGTTTCTTTTTTCCTTTTCTGTCTTTCTCTTTCTTTCTTTCTCTCTCTTTCTTTCTCTATGCCACAGTGACTGCCGGGTAAAGTTATGGAATTACGTGCCTGGGCTCACCCCCTGCCTTCCACGACGCGTCCTTGCCATCAAGGGCCGTGCTACCAGTCTGCCTTGACCCTCCTCCTGTCTCCTCTACTCTCCTGCTTACTTTTTCTTACTATGTTCTCCCTCCCCATTCCTTCTTTCTCCTTCCTACCCCAATCTCTGCGAGCTGATCTCAGCTGCTTCTTAACGGTATGCAAAGCTTACTTGCTCTTCTTTCCCTTTAGGGAAGTTAAATGAAGGTGTTTTTTTAAGGGAGATGTCACTCCCTAGTCCACCTCCAAGGTGGATATTAAAAATCTATTCCAGGGTCCTCTGATTTGCCAGCTTGGTTACATTAATTAAGGATGCATGCTTTACTTAGCAGTCTGTCCCACTGAAATCGATGAAATTTGCCTCCAGTAAAACCTGGGATCATGGGATTAGTAAGGCTCAATGGGGATCCATATTGTTCCATGAGGAGGTAACCCAAGCACCCCACTTTGCAGCCTTGTTTTGCAGTAGGTGAAGGTGCTTAATGTTTCTCCATACTACTACAAATGGAGGAGCAACTTCTAAAACAATTCCAGTGGCAATGAAAAGAATTGACCTTGACCAATTCAAATGTATTATTAGTGTATGTGAGCAAGACTAATGCAATATACAGTAGGACCTCTTGTATTTGTGGGGGATTGCTTTCAAGCCCCCCACCTGAATGCTGACAACAGAATAATAGTTACTATGCTAACTGTACATAGCATGGTAAAAGAAAAAAAAATCCAGGAAAAAGCATTTTCACCATATATTGGCATAATTCACCACTAGAGGGAGCTAGAGACTGTGCTATTTATTCTAACAAGAATGTCTCTGGCTCCCTCTAGCAGCCAGTTCTAGTAAATACATAATGAAAATGCATATTTCTATTTTTTTTTCTATTAATAGTTTTAGTATTTTCAGACTGTGAATAAGTGAAGCTATGACTACGGGGGTCCTACTGTAATCTTGCAGACTGAACATAAATCACATGTTACATTAAACATACTTTTCAAAACCCAGGGGAAGGGGTACTTAAGCTGCTGAGTTTTGTTTTGAAGGAAAAAGATCAGGGACCTTATACTGCTTTTGTGCTAAGGAATCCTCCCGTCCACCAGCTGCTGCTTGCATCTCATTTATTTATTTATTTATTTGATTTATATTCCACCCATCTGGTATATTCTACCACTCTGGGCGGCTCATGACACTGTTTGCATGGAACAGCACTTGAATGAGCAAATAGCAGCTATTTATTTTCTTTTTAGTATAATTTGTTTGAACATTTTTTCTTTTAAAATTATTAATACTGGGAGAAAGGCAGTCTAGAAATGACACAAATAAATATAAATAAGTAAATATTTGCTGGGGCAGAGAGTCAGCATGGAGCTCTGGAGTGGAGCACAAAGCAAGTTCAGTGTCCATGTAGTTGGTTATCCTTCAAAATAAGACAGGTCAGCTTATAGATGGTTTTTAAAAGTGTGCATTTTCATCTGATGTCTTCCTTCCCTCCCCCCCAACTCATACTGTGTTCTCCTTTTGATTTCACAAACCTCCTGCTCTCACCTTTCAACTTTTGTTCCCTAGTGATTGGACAGTAAAGCTCTGGAGTGCAAGGAAGCTACTGAAGAGCAGAACCTAGAAGCCGGAAAAGAATAGCTATAGCCACCAGAGCAGTGATCACAGGAAGAAAGAGGTGGTGCCCTTGTTAAGCCGGGCTTTCTGTGCTTTGAAAGAGGTACTTAGCTTCGGGTTGGAATGTTGCATGTTCAAGGCTTCAGGAGCAGATGGTACTCTGGGTTTGGTACTGTGTACGTTAGCTGGATGGTGCGAGGGATCTTTCCTTTCCAGTTTCCATGCTTGTTTGGATTTTGCAGTCCCACTGAATAGTAAAGTGAAGCTGTATCTGGCATTACCAGCCAAAAGAGAAGGTGAAGCCAAGGCATTCAAAAGCAGTTCTCGAGTCATCATAATCCATCTGCTGCACTGTGAGACCTCTCTTGCAATCTGTGAAATGCTCTGCAGTATTGATAGGCTTGGATATTTATAGAACAAGGATTTATTAAATAGAGAAGCAAGATATCTCATTCTTCATTCCATCACACTTGGAGGAGCCACAGGTGTATTCTTCTGCTGTCCAGGAACTGTCTTTCTGCTGCTTATGCCTTTGTGGTGAAATTGCCTAGGGAAACATAGGCCGTGCCGGTTGCTTCCCGGATCCATTTCCTGCACTGCTGATTGTCTTATTTCTTGCTCTAGTTAGATCTTTCACGACATTTTAAGAAGTGCTGACTTTCTGTTTCCCTTCCATCAGTGATGGACTTTTGTTGTTAAAGGGGAAGGAATGGTGGTGGTATCAAAATGAATCATGTTAATATGAGCACAGACGCCTCCCAACTTTCACATCAAAAGCAGAATCATCTATAGATTTTCATCCTCAAATGCCAGATGGATATACAGTTGGTGTTTGTATGTCATAGTATCACAGACACTCTGGAGAGGACAACCTTAAAAAAGACAATCTCTTGTAATTTCAATAAGACCTGTACAACTGAATTTGGAAGGATCGTTATTATCACTATTCCAGCTTCAGACCAGAAATTAATACAGACAAAAAGGGTCTTGAGTGCTGGAGTGTACTTTGAATTCTTACTGCAAATTTCTCCTCAGGTGAATCTGGAAAAATCAATATCGTTTCATTTTGTAGAGTGGTTTTATTTTGTCCTCTTGCAAAATGGCAATGATTATAGAATCTGAGTTTTTTCCTCTCAGATAGAGAAAGGACCCTTTTTCTGGGAACAGTAAAGTGTGGTGAGTTCAGTTCTTCCTTTTTCAAACAGGGTAAGAAATATTTGTGCTGCCAAACACAAGGGTGTGGCTGTGCACTCTTGTGTTTGGGGTGTGTGAATCACAGACACACACACACACAAAAGAAAGAAAAGAAGAAGAAAAGGAGCCTGCCCCTGTTCATCTCATCATCACCACCGCAGCATCTCTATCTGTTTACACTTCTTTGAAAGGCAGTCTTCCTAGACTGTTCAAGTTTACACCGCGACTGTAATAGTAAGAAAAATAAGCAAGCGAGTCTTGGTTTCTGTGTTACACTCATCTTGAACTTTCACTTGATAATTTGTCAACCTACTTGAGTTTACTAATGAACATCAGCTCAAGCTCTTGGTGAAAGCATCACTTTATGAGAGAAGCTTTCGCTAATGTAAAATGTTGCAGGGCTGCCTAGGCCAGTTTCTCAAGCTCTCCTCAAATACTTCATTTCCTCAGTTGGTATTGTATGTCTGGACTCTTTCACATGCAGCAGCAGCTTTCATCTCCTAGCCATCAAACTTCAGCAAAGCAGCTCATGGATAGACAGATGTGGACAAGCTGCCTTCTGAATGCTTCAGACCATTCTGCATCATTGGTCCTGGTTTATAAAAGTTTTCTGCTTTAATAAACTAGGCTGGATATGAACTTTTCCATTTACATGCATTGTGAAGATCCCATTTCCGAGCAGTGAAGCTGCGGATCCTTCCTTCTGCTTAGGAAGTTGTACTGTAATTCTGTATGAGTGTTCTAAAAGTTCTGTGTATTGTCTTGTGCATTATTTGGGAGCGGGGAGGGAGCAGAAAGGAGGGGAGTGTTTTGTGTGAGTGAGTGAGTGATTTGAAGAGGGCAAGGACTTGTTTTGAGTTAACCTACCTCATGGTCCAAGGTGTTTGTTTCTTGTGGTTTTTGTTTTTATGTTAATGAAACTTGAACTGGTTTGGGGAAACGCACATTATCAGTGGCCCTGATTTCTGAATGCAAAGAGTGGCATCAGCAGGTAGAAGGCAGGGAGGAAACGGCTGGGCTCTGTGCTTTGTCTTCACTTGTTGGTTGGCTGATGATGTTCAGGTCCAGGGCTTCTTATGTCCACCAGCTGCACCATTTGAGTAAGCTGTTCTTAAGTGTTACGGCTAATATTTATTGAATCATGATGTCTTTTTCACTCTTAACTTCCCATTCTGAACTGAGACAGGGAAAGGCTGAGTGGTTTAAGTCTTGGAAGAGGTACATTCTTCCATTGGTTGTGAAACTGGCACAGTCCCCATTCCCTTCACACAGAGCTACCTAAGATACCTTGTCTGGTATTTAGGGAAGCTGGTAGTTCACCTGTGAATGTTTTCCTTAAAAATCTAGGAATAGATTGTGAATTAGCTGCACACAGTTCACCTAAAAGCCTTCCTACATTCAGTCTTGTGGGAAGCTGATGTAGAACAAAGCATATGAATTGACCTGTAAAATAATACTTGATATAGCTGAATTAGTCAGCCAGAAAGCACTCTTCTGTCGGTTAAGTTATTGACCATATTGCCCTATAGTTCCATATGCCTCAATGCTTCTTCTGGCATGTTGGCATGGAATTAATTTCCTCACATTGGAGAAGCCCCAGCACCACTTTCTTTACTGATTACTCCCCCCCGCCCAGTTGCCCACACACACACACACACACACACACATGAATATGGCAGAAATTGCAAATCTCTAGAACGGAAATTGGACCCAGTCTAGGGAAGCTGTTCTATCTGTATTGCTAAACAGTGTTTACCCTCCTGAGGGACATACTTGAAATATACCGTTGACAGATTAAAAAGGATTCTATGTCTAGTGGCCCTTGATGTGATCAAGTGTGTTCATTAATGAGACTCACAAGTGGTTTTACATAATCTGCCTGGTTTACTAGACAACTCTGGGAGATTTCAGCCATGCTAACAATAGTGTTTCTAAGCCACAACATTTATATATGCGGGAGATCTTCTAGTGACCGGATAATATACACTCTCCCTGCAGTCTCAGTAAGGGAACTCAGGGAAAGCCTTCTTGCATATGAATAATCATAGGGTTGGTCATTTGCTCCACCATTTGGTCTATATATTATTTCAAATAGCAGGTGCCTTTTCTTGGCTTGAAGGATTTTATTTAATTGGCAGTGGGTGGTTTTTTTTTTAAACAAAAGGCTGGTACTGAGGTGGGGGCTGTATCATCGGGCAAAATGGTCTTGTCTATGTATATATATGTCTCTCTGTGTGTGTGCATCAGTGTGTGTAAGGATAAAGGTATGTAATTATTTTATACCTCTGTGTAAATAGTGTAAGTTATTTAAGGTTCCTGATGTACATGGTTTTCCAATGAACGTGCTGTTCCTACCCTTAATAAATAAAACAAATTTATTAAAATTAAACCTGAGAATTGGTCTTCTGGGGAAGGGACGTGGGAGAAATTAGAAAGCTGTTAGTAATATGGTAAGCATAAAAGGGCAAGAATGAAGATGGAGCTGATGGGGAATCTGGATACTTATATGAGTTTGAACACACAGTTTAATGGTAAAAAGCCCAGAAACCAAGAGGCTAAGTAGAATTTAGATCACAGCTTAGAATCAAATCTTCTTAATTAAATGTTACTACTTCTGTACTTAAACTCTGGTGTGTTTTGGAGTTTAAATAAAACACTGACTGCTTCCAAAGAAAAAGCTAAAGCAAAAGTACTCTACCACATAAGAACTCGGATAACATATTCTATTCAAAATAAAATATTCAAATACATTTAACACTGTTTAGGGCTAAGTCTGGGCCACCTTTTGCAGACACGGCACCTTGAAAAGCAAGCTTTATACAATATGATCAATACAAAGAACAGTGTGTGCTGCAGATAATGCACATAATTCAATCCAGTACGATAATTAGCAGTTGGACAACATCTCTAGCTTACCACAAAATCAAAAATAGTGATTAATGAGAGTTGGGTGCTTGAATATTGTCTTGTTTGCAATAACAGAAGATAAAACCGAGGCATGAAAATATGTAGTGTTTGTGTTCTTTCAGGGACTGTGTGACACAAATTCATATTAAATAGAAATTCAGCATCTTAAGAATGTGCTCCTTTCTTTTAAGCGAGCCATTTTGTGAAGGCAGGCTGATCTTATGGGCAATATTGGTCAGAGTGGAATGGCAAGGCAAAATCTTCCACTTTTTGAAGCATGCTGTATCATTTTCCTGCATTCCTCCTGGCTCCATTTCATGAATATCAAAACTAGATTCTATATATTGCTTAACTTGTATGATTTCAGTATATACAGGCTTCAAAATTCAGTTTTCAGTGGCTTGGATCTTTTGAACAGTGTTGATATTAATGTACAGAATATAGACAACCTGCTGGGAGGCAACATCCAGAGATTTTAATGATAGTGGTTCTGGTCTGGGGCAAAAGATGTTCATCCACTTTTATTGTGGTGACGTTGCCTCATGTACTTCATTATGGTTATTCAAGCTGCAGATCACCACTGGAAAAACTTTGAAAACTGTTTGATGGGACATTTAAATTGAATACTCAGTGCTCTGGAATACTTCCACACAATGCAGAGGCAATGAGAATGTCATCACTCATGTCTCATACAAGTGATAAAGGCCATGAGAAAATCATTAGTGAAACTTGCCAACCCCTTTTTCCCCTAAGTATCAAATATCAGAAGTACAGTGTGGATGCTAGAAAATGTTATCAAATAGTTCAGCACCATGAAGTTTAATTGGTTTGGGTACCAACAGGGTTTTCCTACACATAGATCTTTTTAGTCAGTCAGACCTTGTGATTGTCAGAAGACTGAATTTCAGTCAGGAAGGCATGCTTGCCATTATGCTAAAGTACAAAGTTGAGTCATGGCCACAAAATAATTGTGTTGTGTAATGATCTTGATGCCTTTCTGTATGATGGGCATACCCATCCTTCCTCTCATACCAGACAGCTGCAGCTGTTAACTGTAGCTGACAAAATGTTCATTGCACTCTTATTTTGCAATAAATTAAACTGCTATTTGGTCAGTAGGAGAAATGATCAGTAGATTTGTGTCAAACCAGTGACAAATGACTTACATAGAGGGAACTTCCAGGGGTTGGACTCAATGGCTGTATAGGCCCCTTCCAGCAATTTGATTCTATGATTCCACTGCTTCTATGAAGTGATGAGTGTTACACAGATACAAAAACAGAGCAAACATGTTATATTTTACCCATAAAGATGGACCACTTTTCTGGTACAATTTTCCTTTAAAGCTGAAAATAAGAAATTTGCCATTCATACAAGAACCAAACAGATAGCTTTGAAGTATAGCAGTCTATGAAAAGACAGAACAATACAGCAGGAATGTGTAAATGAAACTATATTCAAGAAGGCTTATCTGATGTTTTGGCTCTTTGCTGCGTGTAAGAATAAGGAAGAGAATACGGGAACCATATGTAGCAGCTGGGAGTAGTTACACACAATCTACTTCCACAGGAGAAAGAGAATCCATCTTGTAAGATGTGGCTGTTTCCTTAGATACCTTAAAGATCTCTAGAACAATCTCTAGACCCTGCTTTAGAACTTACGGGCACACGAAAATGTTTCCAGTACAAACATGAATAAATAGGCAGGCAGGCAAAGAGTTTGGTGGGGTCTCATTGTCTCATATATTGCACACAGCACAAGAAATCCCACTGTCTCAATGTACCAATCCCATTATATCCGTGCCTCATGGGAGGCAATGGGCAATGCTGAACTATCCTCTCCTGTGCTTTGTAGAAAAGAGCCTAGGTGTTCTCTCCCAAACAGCATGAGCAGCAGGTCCAAGGACACTCATTGTTTTGAAGCCTCCTCTTCTTATCCTGGATTTCTGGACTAGACCGTCAGCCTGCTGACCACGTCAAAATCTGCAAAGTGGATAGGTTCATCAGCCTTTATACCTGAGTAATGATTTCTCCATTTTCTGGCACGTAGACCTGCACAGGGGCTCCTTCTGGAGAACGTTTCAGAACATGGATACGTGGTACCTGCAAAGGTTTAAAAGACTTTAATATTACAGCTGTAACCAGGAAAGCTCCCCTGTAGCATCTCCGTCAGGGAGAATATCTTTCTCTAAGAAACTGTATCAAGAACCTCCAGCTGGAAGATTCCTAAATGATTCAGGAAATTATAATTTGTGTTGCTCTCTGCCTATAAAATCAGTTTCTCTGCTGTCCTTAGGCAACTGAAAAGTAGCGTTCCCAGGGTAACTGCTGCTATTCCTTCAATCCCTTTTGCTAAATTAATTCAAGCTTTTTAAAGGAATTTCCTGTAACAGAGTTTCAAGTGCTCAACAAATATCGATAAAGCACTGCACTACCTAGACATTGTAGCAGCTCCATTTAAAAGTTCTTTGATCACATCACTATTAAGGGAAGCCTCTACCTGAGATCTCAGAGAGGCTGCCAGGCCAGACAACATTGGCTATGTGGACCAGCGGTCTGAGTACTGAGCAGCTTCTTAATTCAGCATTGTCCTTTGTGAATCTAAAACAAAAACCTCAAAGAACCATTAACTAGTATGTGAGATGTTGCACAACTGTTCTAATGCTCACACTGAGAAAAAGAAACTATTCTCATGGTTTTTCTACATTACCTAAGGAAGTTTCCATTTCATCATTTTATTCATGAGAACCAGAGACCATACACTTTCATGAACTGTCCAAAGGAGATTTGAGGTCAGCAAAGTCCTCGCCCTCAAAGACCCAAAAAGCCAAACTACAAACAATCCAAATTTGCCTCAAACAATGGATTTTCAACACTGAATATCACGTTATAACCATAGATGTATCTGATATACCAGTGCTGGTGGCTTCTGAGTTCCACTGAAAGTAGGTCAAGGAGACACATAATGCACAATTGGACCTGTCAGAGACCTGCTCGTCTTGCTCAGGCAGCTCTTTGAGTAGCTGAGAGCTGCTAGATGGAAGTTTTATAAGTAACCACTAAAGAGGAAGGGAGGAATCCAAGAGGCAAGCTCTTGCTTGCATGGTGTGGGCCTCTGCCCTGTGCTGCGGGCAAGGGAGATGCCCTAGAAGGAAGGAGCTGTGTTTCATTGTGCAACAGTTTCGTATCCAGGGGAAATAATTCCCAAAGACAAACTCAGGGTGCACAACATGCAGACTTTTCACTGAGTATATCTCCTAAGGAACTCAGGTAGCGTAAATACACTAGGAGCCTCCCAGCATACAATGCCCTTGTCGCCAACTCTCAGGAGCATTTAGCAATGCAAAATTCACCATCTAACGACCTGCCCACAAAGCATATAACCAAGGACTTAACAGAATGAAGGATTGCTAGACTTTGCCGAAACTACATAACTGGAAGGGGCTCAGGAGAAAGAAACTGGTCAGTGGTTGTTGTGAGTTTTTCGGGCTCTTTGGCCATGTTCTGAAGGTTGTTCTTCCTAACTTTCGCCAGTCTCTGTGGCCGGCATCTTTAGAGGACACAGAGACTGGCGAAACATTAGGAAGAACAACCTTCAGAACATGGCCAAAGAAGCCGAAAAACCCACAACAACCATTAGATCCCGGCCGTGAAAGCCTCCATGAATAAACTGGTCAGTATTTAATATTTGTTAATTATCAGGAAACATTGAATTTCCTCTTTGCAACAGACATAAGGCAATGCATCCACAACTCTCATACTCAAATGACTTTTAGTGCAAACACATGTCTGGAACAGAACAACAGGGATGTTAAGCAGACAAATGGCTAATGGGAAAAAGCTAGGGTGACCAACTGAAAAAGAAGATAGGGTTCCTGTAACTTTAACAGTTGCTTAAAAGAGGGAATTTCAGCAGGGGTAGCTTTTAGTGAAAGCTAGACCTTCTGATATGTTCCCCTCCATATGATCATTATAGATGCGGGTACCCTGTCCTGTTTTTCATCTGATCACCCTAGAAAAAACTGAAGTATCCATTCCTCTTCTCCTTGAAATCCCTCCCATATCAACTCTTTTTCCTTTTTTAAATGGCAGAGGGCCATGGTTGCATGTAGTGATGTGTGCCATCTTTTTGGCTGAGCATTATGCTCAATGTCCACTCCCAGAGGTGTTTTCAGGATATCTGAAATGTTCGGTGGGGGGGAGAGAAAGAACGATCTTGCACCTTACCCACAACTAGTGAGCTCCTGCCTTTGTACTAGCAATGTGAGAAGAGTTAATTGCCAAAAGTATCCGATGAACTTCAGCAATTTAAAAGTGTCCCTTTTTAATGTGTAGGAAGGACTTCAGCCCTGTGACCTCTTCTGTATTCCTTTTTATTTGGCCATGACAACAAAGCATCTCAATAGGGATGGGGTGGAGGGGAAGCAGCCTCACTTTCTCCCAAGCAAATTAGATGCTGTTATGGGAGTATCTCAGAGGTCATGGACTTTGGCTTGCCAGGGCACTGGTGGCACCATTGGGAAAATGGAATTTCCATGGGTCTTTGACATCAGCCCAGCAAGGACCAAAGTGAAGTCCGTGTCACTCTGCTTGGCTGGAAGATCTGCAGCAAGCACTTACTTCTGCCGCCCCTCTCCCAGGTCAGATAACATATGGCAGTCATGCTCCCAGTTATGTCATCAGCCGATCAGCAATGACCTAAATGAGGCCTGAAATGAAGTGAACTGTTTTCTGGTTAAGCAAGCAAAATAGCTTAGTATGTTGAACTCGGGGGGGGGGCGGGGAGACATTTTCCTGCCTTCAGTTGGGGGGTGTTATCTTGGAAACAGTGATGGTATCAACTAATCAATCCAACTAGGCTGCGTGAAAGCATTAGTAAGGGAAAAAATACCAAGTCGGACCAAACAAAATGTTTCCTGAATGGCATTGCCCTCCCTGTGAATACATGTCTTCTGTGGCCTTATGAAGCCTCCACCAAATGCCAAGGGGAGACATTTTGAAATGAAAACATTTGTTGAAAAGAACAACAACAAGATATATCAGGTTCATGGCGACTCAGTGGTTTAGGCACCTGGCTGCAGAACCAGAGGATGGGAGTTCAAATCCCCCACTGGGCCTCCTTGACAAGAGCTGAACTTGATGATCCACAGGGTCCCTTCAACTCAGCAGTTCTATGATGATGATGATGATGATGATGATGATATCATTATCATTATCATTATCATTATTATTATTATTTGTCCTTATTTAAATATGAAATTTATTTATTTATTTGTGCAAAAGTACAGTGGTGCCTCGCATAGCGAGGTTAATCCGTTCCGGATTAACCTTCGCTATGCTGAAGCATCGCTGAACGGGGCAGGGATTTCCATTGGAACGCATTAAACATCGTTTAATGCGTTCCAAATGGGCCAAATACTCACCGTTCAGCGATGCTTCAGGATGGCCGGCAGCCATTTTCGCGCCCTCGCCTCGCTTAACGAGGGCGCGAAAACGCTGTGTGCGGCCATTTTGGGCCATTTCCAGGCTTCCAGCAGCCATTTTGGCCGCCGAAGAGCTGATCATCGGGGTTCGTTTTGCGAAGATCGGGAAGCGAAACGCTTACCGGTCTTCGCAAAGCGAATTTTGCCCCATTAAAAAAACGTTGAGCGATCGCATTAGCGATCTGAAAAAATGGATCGCTATGCGATTTCATCGTTATACAGTGCGCTCGTTAAGCGAGGCACCACTGTATACTATTCATTGCATTCTGATTTGCAAATTATAGTGCTAACCTGCTTTAGCAAACATGATTGCATTGGACAAAATGATAGATTTCTAATATGTAGTCATAAGGTATGATTATAAATATGAAATTATTATGCAGCTTCTCTCTCTCTCTCTCTCTCTCTCTTTCTGTCTCTTTTAAGGCAAACAAGCCCAAGCAGATTAGGCCAGGGCCTGTGTAGTGCCAGGAGTGAATATGTGTAAGCACACATTTTGAAACCCTGGTATAAGGGAATTTCATTCCGACCCTTCATATTGAAAGAACAAAGAAGTTGCTGGCTGTTTCTGTGCAGGCCATCCTCAACAAATGTATGTGCTGGCCACACCATCTGTGTGCTTGGCAACTGCATGAAGGAAGCCTGCATGCCTACAAATATACCCATGGAGAAGTGAATTACACTGGACCTCCTTCCTGTTTGGGGTTAAGCAGTACCAGGAATATATGCTTGCATATGTGTAACATCTCTTCACAAGGCCAATGTTCATGGGGGGAGGAGTTGCTACATACTCTGCTTCCATGATAACTCTGTAGCACACATACATCTTATAGTCATCAAGTCTATAAGACAGAATAGCAAAATGGCCCAGTGTGTTTTACTTGGTGTGCTGCTTTCCCATAGAATTCAAGCATACATACCTCAGTGCACGAAAGCAAGCAATAAGTTATAGCAGCTGCTTTTTCTTGACTCTATGGGTCGCTCTTTGCTTGCGCTGAGCAGGCCATGATTCTAGGCTGCCTCCTACAGAAGGCTGCTTCTATTGACCCATGTGGTGGGGTGCGGACTAACAGCTTTCACTCAAAAACAAGTGGGAGAGCAGGCAGACAGACGGCTTAGTATTTGGTTCGCTTTTGAGGAGGTTTGATTCACCCTATTTTCCAGCGACCACATGTGTTTTCAAGAAGAAGATCCATCTCATAGCCTTTTAACAAACTGTTCTGCTCCTTTTTTGCGAACACTAGGGCTGCAGTTTGTTTGGTGCAATTGATAGTGCTCCTGATTATCCCATACTATAGCCCGGCTGGTTGATTAACCCGCACCGAAATAGAGCTGTGGGCAGTGTTATCTGAGGTGACAATCCTGTCACATATTCATTACACTGTGACATTAAAAGGGAAGAAGGAAAAAGCCCCTCTTCTATTTTTGACTTTTTAAAAAAATCTCTAACTGACACAGCACAATTCTAATATATTGGAGGTATATTTCAGTACAGTATGTATGATATGTATACCACGCTAGGTTCATGCACTGCTCTAGCGCTATGTCACTTACTTTAACAAAAACAGGCAGGAAGTTGCCTTTTTTCATTGTTGTGGAATAACAGACATAAAAAGGCAGGGTAGGAGGGATGGGGATAGTGATGCTAATAATCAAAAGGAGGACAAATTGAAGCAATCGGAAGAGCTGTCTGGATCCTTCTCATGGGAGAAGAAATATCTCCTGTGTGAATGGAAGGATTGCTCAGTACAAGATAAAATAGATTGCACTAAATTTAAGAACCTTTCAAGCATGAACAGGACCACTTCAACCTTCCCATCTAGTCATGCCCTGAGATGCATGGGGAAGTCAAAATGTGCTGAATCTTTTTTTAAGGAGCACAATCAGGTGATGTGCACCCCTACCTTAGAGGATCCTGCAAGGCAGGAAGTAGATAGCACTGTGGCTTATGGTTTTGTTAGTGGCACTTATCAAACTCATTTTCTAACCTCCCCCCCCCATTTTTCCATGCATATGGGCACTGACCATTTTGTTACAAATGTGATTGGTCCATATCAATCCACCAGATTTTCAAACGGTTCACATACGTACTTCTTTATGGCAGGAACGAGCAACAGTGGATCTCTGGATGTTGCCAGACTGCAACTCCGATCAGTTCTACCTAGTGCAGTCAATTATAAGACAGGATGGGAGTTGCAATCTAAAATCTGGAAGGCCACATTTCCTGCTTATAACGAAAGAGCTCATACAGGGATTAGCTAATGTATTGCAATCTAAAATCTGGAAGGCCGCAGTTGCCCATTTCCTGCTTATAATGAAAGAGCTCATACAGGGATTAGCTAATGTGTTTGACTTGGTTACATTAGCTGAACGTCTTAGCCAGGAGTAGCTGGCTTGTAAGGGGAGCTCTGGAACAATTTGGAGACAATCACAAAGAAGATGTTCCCCTTCTCCCCAAGGCTGCATTAAATCTGTACCTGAATTTGCTGCCCCACAGAACAGCCAGAGAGCGGCTCTCTGCTTGCTCCAGTGCGCATGCGGAAAGCTCCTTGCCGGTCCAGTGAACGGGGCCGTGCGTTACGCAGCCGGGTCCGTTCATGCCATGACTTTAGTTCTTCTGTCACAGCTGACTTGGAGAGTGTCCGAGAGCCCATCGGGGGGCAGTCCTTCAGGGAGGGAGTGCGGACCACCCTGCTGTGGGAAACAATGGACCTCTGAAATCTAACTGGCACCATCTCTTCCTTGTAGACAAAGTAGGTAGAGCTGCCAGATAGAAAAGGTGGACGTCCATGGCAGAGCTCCATCCCAGCAGGTGAGTGGCCTTCAGGCACGCACTCCTGGGCAGAATAGAAACCTGAAGGGGACCGCAGCTTCTGAGGACCCTGACCAGGGCATTCCGCTTCATGTCCCTTGCAAAACCGGCTTGAGAAGCGATCCTCCATAGGCACGGAGGACGATGGCTTTAAGAAGGAGATGTCAGGGCTGCTGCTGCCTGCAGATGTTGTATAGGAAATGCTGGAGACATCAGAATTGCTGTCTTCTGAAGCAGAGTGAAAGGTGGGCTTGATGTCTGGGTTGAGCTTGAGGACAGAGAAGCAGTACTCAGGAACGGTAACCGTGTAGTAGGTGGGGCGCCTCCTTGGCAATGCACTCCTTCCACGGGACTCCAAACCTTCCCGGGATGAAGACACCCTGTTTTCCAAAAGAGTCTGGTCAAGATTCCAAAGGTCAGCAGCCTTTATCCTCCTGAGATAGGTCATTATCCTATTCAGCTAAGAGGAATACAGTACAGTGGGACATGGACTTCAGCACCTCCATAAATTTAATTCTGGCCATGATTCTTTCTGCTCAAGTATGACCTACACGTCCTCTCCCAAATAATGCCCAATCAGTTAACAGGTATAGGTTTTCTCTTTGTATGAAAGAAAGCTTTTTGTTCTGGAAAGGTATTGAAGTCCATAGGCCAAGACAGACAGACAGACAGACAGACATACAGACATACATACATACATACATACATACATACACACACACACACACACACACACACACACACACACACACACACGTGCTGCCTCACCTAAATCATGGTACACACAGGAGTACTTACTCTTTTTTTTCACATGTCCCCGGTTGCCTCTGAAGTGACCAACTGAACAGCCAGAAGGAAGTCCAACTATGCAATGGACAGCCTGGGAAACAGCTACCACCATTTGTGAGAGTGCGCTTACGCCATCCAATTCTGACCTAACATTCCGATGCCCTTTGATGGCAGCCAAATATCTGCTACCCACGACAGATTCCTCATTCTGGCTAATAGTAACACACACGTGTTCACACACAAGCACATGGAAAATAATCTCTGAGAGCCTGGGTCTAACATATCCATATCGTGGACTGTTGCACTAAACCATTAGTGCAACTTAGGGATGCAAAACCTCCAGTACTGCTACATGGGCTTCACTCAATTTAGTGGGTGACACATTTTCCCTCCAAAGGAGGACACTACCTTTTGGTGTTTTCTCCAGTTATTTCCTGTTTTCCCCACTGGCTCCCCACTCTCTCACTATATAGGCCATGCCTTACCCTCTTCTACACTGCAACTATTTGTCATACAGATGGGCCTTATAACATCAGGCAAGAGCCATTTTGTGCTCAAAGTTTATCCTTCATAACTCATATTTTGGGCTATGCACATTTCACAGTTGCTTGTTCCCCAAATATGTCACTGGTAACCAAACTCCTCTGAAAAGAAACCACCTTATGCTGTTTCTATTAAAAATGCAAAGTCGGGTTAGAAATGACAGGACAAGGATGTTAAAGCAAAGCAAAAAAACATAACACAAAAAGCAAAACACATTACTCAAAGCACATACTATACCTGATGAGTTGAGATTGCCCTCTTCTTCCCAGGAACTCGGGCGTTGGTGGGGCACTGGAACCCACCTGTCTCCTTACTTCCAGCTTCCTAGAAGGGCCAAAGTGGCATGAAGACATCTCCACTGGCCTCGGAGCCACAGGGCTGGGTGCAGATTGGGATATCACGTCTGGACTGCTGTAAGAAAACCCAGAAAAAAACGACAAATTAGAAACCGCTTACTTGTTCGGCTTCCAGTTGCTGACACTGTTCCTTGAAAACACAGTAGTGGGAGGGTCTGACTAGGAACAGAGCACAGAAAAGCCAAATTTTTAAAGGCTAGAAATGCCAGAATTTAATGCCTGGAAGGTCAGAGAACATGCTGGCTGACGTGGGAGTTGTAGTCCCAAAAAGGACTATAACTTTTTGCAGGTTTTGTTCAGGAGGCACAGAATTCTTCAACCCAATTTCCCCATCACCCATAAGAGAACAAAAAAGGAACAGGCAGGTATGTCTATAAACATGGCTCTTCTGCTTTTGTGAACTACACTGGTAAGTTTGAAAAATAATTTCCAAGTTCTTTTCCTAACTGGACTACTGAACTGCAGGCAGTGATTTGTAAAGAGTATTTTTCATGCATTCCAGTAAAGTGCTTTCTCTTATGCATTCTTGTAATGTAACTGTAAGAATTATGTTGGCTGAAATGAACACTCCATTTTACTTTATCCGGAAGATTTATATCCTCTCTTTCAATTTTACTGCTCTCAGGTTTACTTACAGAAATAACCATTTAAAACAGCAAAGCAAGGTAAGAAAACAATAACAACATGCAGGAGAGTTTTCTCTCTAAATCCTCCCGCTGTGTGTGCCCAAGCTGAATCAGAAAGCAGTCTGATGCCTCTCATACAATCAAAGAGATCAAAAAGCCCAAAACACTATCTACTGCAGCAAAACACCACCTAGTGCACTTCATGTATTAGGGAGATAATCCAGCTTGATTTCTTTTGTAGATCTCAGAAACAAGGGAGTCCTGCAAAGCAATTAGCAAAGCAATTTCTATCACTGAGATAAATTTAGTGCTTCCATAGCACTCTTCGTAAGTTCTCAAAGCCTGGTACATGCATTAATAACATTACAACAGCCTTTTAAGGCAGTCTAGTACTATCTCAATATTACAAGCTAAATCCTCTTGAGATAACATTACAAATTCAAGAATGAGTTGAGATCTGATCCAATGACTTTAAGCCAATGAATCTCATTGTCATCAGCTGCATGACATTTCACCTGTTCGTATGCAGGCTACACAAACAGACTTCAAGATAGATAGAAATCACTTTTTTTGTGGAGGGGGGCGGAAGCAAGAAGACAGAGTGAACCCTCCTCACCTTGGCATGCTGCTGGACTCAAATGATTTCTTGGGCTTTTCATAGGGTTTATCCAGGCTGGTCTCTTTCCAGGGGCTGTTCTGGATAGGTGAGGATTCCACTCTGGCAACTTGGTAGTGGGGCTGTCTCTCTAGCAACTCAGGACGGGGAGGCTGAGCTGAAGAACTACTGGGTGGTATGGGATCAGCCAAAGCTGTGAGCTTTGAAGGAATACAGGTGTTCAACTCCTGGTGTTCTAAAAGGAGGAGGAGGAGTGAGGGAAGAATTAGCATTTGCCAACACTTCAATTTGAAATCCACCAAATCCTTCACTGCGCCTTCTCATCTCTAGCTTAAGTCAAACCAGGATGTTTAAGTTTAGCATACTCCAATCATCACAAAACTTTCTAATTTTGGACACCCCTGTACTTCAATCTTCTTCTGAGTCTTTCAGTACTTCAGATAAGATTCATTAAGTGTCTCTCTGCTTCACCTTCAAATCTAGTTGGGTGCTGTGGTATGATGAAACAGCACCAAACTTGACAATACAGTGAAAAACCATTTCGATCAGGTCCTGCCTTTATCTTTGGCCGTGCACTGGGAACAAAGCTTTAACCATGTGGCATGAACTGGGACAAGCATAAGAGACATTCAAAAGCTATAGTCAGAAACCCTGTCCTTTTAAAGGAATTTTAACTTCATGGAGTCATGGGCTTGTATTCTCTAGCCAGATAATCTGCCACTACTTTAAAAACACAGAAAAAGAGGTTCATACAGTGTGATCTGTGGGGAAGAAGAGTGACTGACCATACAAGGATAACATGGAAGAACATAACGAAGAGTACCAAGTTGTCAGTCTATCCCAGCACATGAAACAAGGATAAACACAAGGCTATAATCTATTGTTTTAAAGTCATTCTCAGGTCTGTGGTCCAAACATGCATTTACTGCTATGTGATGAGTCACGCAACTCTCCACACAACAGCAAATGCCTACAGGACTTTCTTGTGGCAATTTACAGTCAAAAGTTATACTGATCAAATGGGTACAATGAATACTGTATATAGGTGCAAGAGAAGGAAGGGTACAGCCGTAAGGTGAGAAGAACACTAGAATTGTGATTATCTAAGCCTACCTTCTTCTATGAGAGCCGTATCTGACAGGGAACTCTCATCAGAGGCACTGAGCCCTGAGGAAGAAACAAGAATCAGCACTGAAAAAGTAATGTGCATGTTTGAGCATGGAGTGCTGCTGTTTGGACCTTCGACACACGTCATTTCATCCTTCCTCTTTGCCTACTCACAGTTAGTAAGCATTCTGCAGCCCCCAGGCATGCTCTGTCCTTATTGGACCGTATGGAGCAGAGGTCCCAAAATGTAAGGGTCTCACCCAGCCAGCCGGCCGGCCTCTTACCTTCAAAGAGCACCACTTCAGAAGCCTAAACAGTGGCACTCGCAGCTTCAGTTAACAGAAGCAGAAGGAATTATGAGGAGCAAGCAGAGATTTCACTGAACGTACAGATATTCAAGCCATTAACCAGAACTGGTTGGCATTCTGATGAAATCTGCACTCATAGATCCCACAGAATATCACAGATTGGGGGGGGGCACTGACTACCTCTCAGCTGGTACTAGGCAAACTCTCAGCATCTCAAACCACATCATTCAAAGCACTGCAATCCTATACACACACTTAGATTCCTCTAAGAAATATTCCCCAATGAAATTGAATTAACAGCAGCCCGACGGATTTGGATTTGCATTTTGGGGAGCTTCTTTACCCAAATCCTTAAATATGAATGGATTAAAAAAAAAAGATCCTTCCACTTTTCACATATAGGAAGGATAATGCATTTTGGCTACAATCCAATGCAAAGTTAAATGTTGTTAAGCTAATTGATTTCAAAGGGCTTAAGCATATTTAGTACCATGATGGAGTGTGACTGGGAGGTACAAAGTTGATTTTAGTGACCACTAAGGGCACTAAAATGGGAATACTGACTGGTTGACCTCATTCAACTCTGAGTTATTTTTTTTCTTTCATTTGTTTTATTTTATGATTTTACTACTGATTTGCTTATGGTTATGCTCTTTTGTTAATAGGACACATGCTTTTCATGCAAAAGATCCTAGGCTCAATAAGGCTGTCCTATTTTCATTCATTCATTCTTTTTTTTTTAAAAAAATTGTACTCTGCCTTTCTCCCCAAGAAGACCCAAGGCAGCTTACAATATTATTTTGATCATGTCATTAAGTCCCACTGTGGTCAGTTGGGTTTATCTATGTTTGCATACGACTGGAGCACATCTGCATCAAAGAGACTGGGACTGAGAAAGGATCCAAAGTATTTCCTTCCTAAGCCTTCCAAAGGGTTAATCCAATGCTACAGGTCTTTGCGTCATTTGGTGCAGGTATCTACAGGTTTCCTCCTCCAGCTGGCTCTCCCTGTTCTTTCTTCAGCTCCCTTTGTCAAGAGCTTATAGAAAACCGCAGCTTGTAGATTAATACAAGACAGGAAAAAGCCATAAAAGGTGAGCTTCCTGTCTCAGTTTGGGAGGAAATCCAACTCAACCACTCCTGTCAAACGTTCCCCTGCCCTATTTCTTAGGCTAGCCAGGAGCAGTCGAAACCTACCTCATTGCCAGAAAACTCATACTTACAAAAAAACACTTCCTGATATCAGCAAAGAGTCTTGTGGCACCTTAGATAAACACATGTATTAGGGCATAAGGTTTAATAAATGTGTTGCTTCTTACAGTGCTCCAAGATTCTTTGTGCCTTTTTTTCTGGAACAGACGAGCCCTGGTGCCTTTTTGTAAACAGCCCCATGCGTGTGCCGCTTCAGTTTACAGTCCATTTAATTGGTGTCCAGTTATCTAGTTGTCACACAGAACAGGAGCCTCCCTGTCCTCTTAGGCCTTTTGCCCTCAGGCAATACGTGCTGAGATTCTCAGACCCTCCACTTGCAGCCTTGCAGCTAAAGCTCCACGTGAGGTATTTCAGAGCCATTCGGTTTCCAGGTAGGTCCCCCTCACCTCCTAAGGCTGGAGCACTAGCCCTTAGTTGCAATGAATGCTTGGCAGCCAGTTGATACTCCACCAGGGCTTGCTCCAACTCTTTCAGCTTCTTTTCCTCCTTCAGCACGGCACTTTTCCGGCACTTCCGAACCTGCTTAGTAAGATTCTCTTCCCGCAAGAGGCAACGCGAAGCTTCAGCAATCTGCAGCTGAAGAGCCAGATCTCTCTCCAATGTGCTCAAGGGATCCTGTGCAAAAAAACAAAAACAAAGTGTTTCTCCAAAGGGGCACATCCTATAAGATTTTTTTTAAAGCAAGGAATGCATGAGATCTAAAATGATAGGATGTGAAGCCATCGCCAAGGAACAGCCAGCACTATCTTAACCAAACAAATCTTCCCACTATATGTCCAAACATGGACTGCTACTTAGATCCACATTGGATTTTCCAGGCACTAACGGGTCTCATGACACCAAGGAGGGAAAACAGCTACTTGGCTCCAACATTTAGGGGTGTATTCACTTTTGTTCCAAGCGGTTTAGACATTAATGGCTGTGTGTTCTGTTATTTTGAGGGGACAGCACATTTACACTATTACTGTATACAAGCTGTATACTCACTGCTTTCCATTGTAGCCAAGTGTCATTTCTTCGGTGTTGTCACATGAAAAGATATACTAAAATATTTATGAAATGTGAGGGAGTGTACTCACTTCTGTGATATAATGTATATACTCCAGGTACGGTATATTAGATATTACTTTGTTAACCAGTTTTACCGCTGCCCCTCTTACACTCACAAGAAAGATGATTAAACAATACAAGGGGGATTTTCCTCTTTTTCAGAGCAGTTTATGAACTGATTGCGGATTCTAATCCTGTTTAGGGATTTTCCACTCTTTCAGTGCATGCTTATTAGTGGAGTGGGATTCTAATCCAGTTTAGAGATTCATAAGTCTTGAGCTAGGGTGGTAATTATTCTGGATTTCAGTAAACTACAGTTTAGGGACTGTATTCCTTTGTATGGGCCATGGGATTTATGGCCTGAGCAGAATTCCCAGGTATCTGCTGAGCATAGCTACTTGGACGAGATAAACCCTCCACAGTCTAAGAATGCTCTCAGACTCCTAGTCCTACCGTGTTTCCCTGAAAATAAGACAGGGTCTTAGATTAATTTTTGCTCCAAAAACGCATTAGGGCTTATTTTCAGAGGATGGTTTTTTTTTCATATACAACAATCTACATTTAAGCAAATGCAGTCATGTCATCTTCTGATTGCTGCGCAATGGTGGAGGGTGGGGTTTCACTTCATTGGGGCTTATTTTGGGGGTAGGACTTATATTACGAGCATCCTGAAAAATCATGCTAGGGCTTATGTTCAGGTTAGGTCTTATTTTCGGGGAAACAGGGTAGCAATATCAAAAGATCCTCTGTTGCTACTTTATCTTTCCATCCTTAACAGGTTCTTCGTAATAAGAAAAAGACAGAAGAAGTAACTTGATAAAGTTACAGATGGAAAACAATAAACCAGAGATATGTTTAATGATGGAAGAGACCAACTTCAGATGGAAAGCATTTTCAAATGGAGGTCCATGTGCTACTATTCCATCTTTCTATCCTTAAAAGTTATATTTTCTATATTAAGGAGAGAGAAAGAGAGTGGAAGAGGTGGGGGAAAAACAACAGAGGACTCTGAATGGAGAATGATGTGGTGTGAACATGCAGTAAATGCATCACTATGATGATGTGATAAAAGCCATGTCTGTAGGGTCAGCTTGGGGAGTCAGCCAAAATTTCAGGGAGCATCCCCCTTGCTCTAGTCATAAGCCATCTATGCTTCTTTGAAACCACCCTCAGGGGTGTTAGCAACATCTCAAGTGAGGTGTAATTTAAGGGAGGGGGAACTCTCTGACTCTCTGTGCGCATGTGTGTGCGTATGTGTGTGTGAGAGAGAAGCTATGGTTAGCAAAATAACAATTCAACTCAGCACTCACACCCTGTGCCACCCACCTGTAGGCATGGAGAAAAAGAATAAGGAGTGCCACACCTAGGCTGCCTCCTACTGAAATTATTATTAAAACAGACCACAAGGGAGAAGGAGAGAAAGAGGACTTGCATAACTTAACAGGCAACAAGTCCCATACCTTTGATGGCAAGGAGGCACGGCTGGGGGTTGTCCTCCTGAAGCCTGAAGCTTCTCTTTCCCTTTGGCCTTTCTAGAAAAGGGTTGAACCTACAAAGCCCTCTTTCTGCTGACAGCTGCTCTCTGACATATTATCTTCAAAGGGAATGCACACATAGCAAATTCTCAAACAAGACATCATTTCTTTGCACAGAAAAGATGTTTTCCTGCATTAGTATAAGATGGCTTCAGAATGGTGTGAGCTAATTATAAATGCAAAAACAAAATTGCCTGCCCTTAATAACAGTAATAATGAGGTTTATGTGGAGAAAGTGCAACAAGAATTACAGGCAGAAAATTATATGAGGTGCATAAACTCTCTCAGCAGTGGCCAGTATGTTTCTCACCCTCTAAATTTTGCAGGAAGAAATCATTTATATGACAGATGCAGGTACTATGGAGTTTAAACTTCTGGTTACAAAGCAGTAGTGGGAATCATGTGGCCTGCAAGTCACACACAACTCTTCAAGGCCCCCAGAGTGGACTCCTGTAACTTTCCCTAGCTGTCCCCACATTACATAGAAAAGAAACAGCCCAAAAACACTGGACCATTGTGTCGCTAGAAGCCTCTGGGTGTGATTTCAAAGCTATTCCGCTCACCCTGCACCTTTTAAAAGGCCCCAAATGGCCTTTGTTTCAGAAATAGAATTGATCTGGTCAATTGGGTGGGGAGGAGAGATGCAACCCTCAGAGGTCTAACTGATGGAAAATGAGGTGGGTGCAATCTCCAGACCCAACCATAGTATGAAGAATCCTTTTTGATTTCATGGGACATATTCCAGACTCATTTTTGTTTCCAAGAACACTATGATCCCTGAAGGTGTGTGCAGGAGGAAGGGGAAACATGTAGGTCTCCAGATATTCCTGGATTCCAATTTTTATTGCCACACTGAGACCAGCCAGCTCTGAGGGACACAGGAGTCCACCAACTGGTTACTCCTGTTCTGAGATATAGTGTGTCCAACAACAAAAAATGACCAAAACAAACAATAACAACCCACAATCCAGGAACATTTACATTACAGTCTCTTGTGCATCGAGATAGCTGTCAGTCATGATCACCAACATAGTACTAATATTAGCAGCATTTTTCCCATATCATTTTAGAAACATCCTCACCTCTCCTCTTGAGAAAACTGCCTTTTCATCTAGTCTGAAAGCAGCACCAATTCGACGGCGGACTTTTGGAGGCTTCTCTCCTGGTTTCAAAGGATATTCTGAAGACAGCATTCCTGTCAGTTCCTGCCCCCCCAAAAAATAATTATAAAAGGTCAAGAGAAGGACTCGGTTTCAAGCCCAGCCCACCAGAGATATACAAATTACCCTATTATCAACACCAACACCACCAAAACATGGCTAGCTGAAAGCAGGTGATTTTTTAAATTTTGTTTAATGTACTATTTCCCCCCCCCCATCAAGGATGGGGGAATAACTTGTGGATTTTTTCTGCTCTGAAAGCCAAAATAATTTGATGTCCCTTTGATATTAAGCAGCTTGATGAGGGGTGGACTACCATTTGCCATTTTATTTTTGATAGCTAAACACTTGAAGCTGACTGTGAAATTATCTGCTAAATATTTGATTCACCCAGTTAACGGATCACCAGAGGTTGTTTATTATTTATTATTACATTATGTAATTGCACCCCTTAACATTGCTCAAAAATTGTTTTCAGGGTGATTTACAAAATATTTATAAATAAAAAGCAGATAAATTGTATTTCCTTGCTATTTTCATTGGAGTGTTGTACTTTTTCACGTTTCCTGGATGTCCCATGATCATGAGGTAACCTCAGGCAGAGGAGACTGTCATGAACAAATGCCACACAAAATACCTTGGGCAGAGTTCATTTCAAACATTTCCAAAGCCACTTATTTCTAAAGATCTCCTGCAAGTTGCATACTGTACTGACATGTGAAGAATAAGCTCTGAACTGATCTAAAGGAGAAATGATACTTCCAATGCAACAAAAGGTTCTGAAATGTCTCCCTGCAAAGCCTAAGGGAGCAACAACATGGGGTAGTTCCAGTATCCTGGATATATACTGACTTCTTTATTTCATCTCTATGCCAACTTTTTCACACAGGTCAGGGCGTATGAGAATAGGTTAGGATGAAAAGGTTATTTATTTATTTTATTATTTATTTATTTTATTTCTATCCCGCCTATCTGGTCTTATTCGACCACTCTAGGCGGTTAAGATTTTTATATAAGTCTACTGGAATTTTTTCCTGTGTGGAATTTAAGTTGTCACCACTAACCATGACTTATTTGGTAGGCTGAATCTGAACCAGAAGTTTCAGACAAATTTCTTCGGGAGACATTGTTGCATTCAAAACTAATGCATAACCAATCGTGTTGCCCGGCATGAACCACAGCAAGTGGCCAGGTTCAATTTAGAAACATTTTTCTAAAATGTTCCTAGAATGATGCAAGAACTTCTTCCATGGGAAAAAATGTTCCTAATGTCCAATTCACCCTTTCCTTGTCTCCAGTAATTTTCTACCAACATTCGGGCCTTTCAAACCCTTTGAGCAAACTTCTCCCTTTTCATTTGGCAATGGAGTCACCGCTCCTAACAACGTAACTTCATTTCTTAAGCAGCACAAACCCCACAATCCCCAGCAGGTTAAGCCGACCCTGCGCCTTTCCTGGCCCCTTACCGCCTCACGCAAACACAGCCTTCTCAGCTCTTCTACACAGGCTTCTAGCCGTTCCTCCAGAGCCTTCTGCTGCTTTCTCATGGCTTGGGTCAGATCCTTCATTGGAGACACAGGGCTGTCTAGTCCTAAAAAGAACGTGACAGCAACAGAATGTCTTGTCAGCCAAATAGCATGAGAAGGAAGGAGAAAGAAAGCAACTGCATTTAATAAGCCAGACAGGGTGCTTTTTGGTAGCTTTCTGGAGCCTGCCACAGGTTATGCAAATGCATCTTTAGAGACAAGTGTCATTAGCATTTATTGTAAAACCGGCTAGGAACTTGAAAGGCAAGGCTATTCTCTGACAGCTCATCATGTGGGGCATGGAATGTGCACAACACTAGTGACTGGTTAGCTTTCACTTCATAGGCTATGGGTAGCTCAAGGTCACTGCTGCAGATCAGAGCAGATAAAGAGAAGACCCAACCATATTCCTGACTGTTAGGGTTACTGGAAAAGTAAGCTGCTCTGCCTATAGACCGGAAAAGAAGAAGTGACAGGCTTTGATCTTTGTAAGCCGTAAGAGAGAATTTGCAACAGATTTTAGATCTCACTTAAGGGGCATCAGTGCATGGCTTCTTCTAAAGCTGTGGTACACTCAGCCACATCACTGTCTCCTTGCCAGCCACATATAGTTTTAATCTCAGCATGTCCCAGTTCATCCCCCAACAGGGCAATATAGCAAGTCATTCCATATGTATGACTAAAGGTGAAAGAGTCCCGAATGGTTTTCTGATATCTTATTGCACTTTTTAAGGGGGTGGGTGGTCAGAATGCCTCTGTTTTAGTATTAGAGGAGCAGCTCCTATTCACATGTGTTCGGAGAAAAAGAGAAAAACTGAGATTGCAGAAGGAATCAGAAGCAGCAGCAGAGGTTGAATGCTGGGCTCTCTTATTCCTCTGGTTCAGTGTGAACGTCCAAGTGCAGGTTTTCCTTTCCAAAACAGGAAAGGGCTAGGTGGCCTCTGTTACTTATATATCCGATAGCCTAAGAGCTTCTACGGCTAGCTTTTTGGTAGTCCTTGCACTTTCCACTGACACTTTAATCCAAGCAAAACACAAATGTTTCATACCTTGGAAAGGAAGAGTGTGGTGGCAGGGAATGTCCAAGACACATGTTAATACAGAAACCAGTGCATTGATGTTTTTACATTTGCACCCTTTCTCTGTCTGGTGCTGTCCACCTCCATTCTTGCATCGAGCCACTTGAATCGTGGACCCCATTGTGTGTTTGTGCATTAGTACAAACTCAGTGAACAAACCACCCTGTGAGACAGTATCTGTGTGACCTGACAGATGGTTTTATATAATTAAGGGGCATGCCATGTTATTTTCCAATATGAATAAAATTCAAACTGTTTATTTATTGCTACATTTAAAGTACAGCCTTTGGATTTACTTTTACTGCTATGGTGCTATTCAGGGCTTTTTACATTTTTAAAAGCATCAGAAAGCAGTTCCTGACATTGAGAAATAGAGCTACAAACCTTAGGTAGCAGTTAGGAAGAAAGATATAGACTTATGTTTCTAAAGACATAAGCAGTGTCCCAAAGGGCCACCTACTCATAGGAACCAGGGGTTAATTTGTCATCATACCTATATTTCAAAGCAAACTGTTTTCCTAAGAAAGCAAACTAATGTGTTGTGTGACGAGGGGAGTGATGACTTAAAAACAGCAGGCAAGAGAGAAGACTCCAACCCTACCACACCAGTCTTAAAAAGCTGACACTGCTCTTGGTGCCACTTGCTTGTGATTGTGTGTACTGTATTTATGCAATAAATTATTCTGGAATCTTGGACATCCCCATCTGAATCCTGTGAGTTGTATCATAGCCCAGCTCAGAGGGGGGAAAGGAGACAATGGGGCCAGCCATGAATAACAAGGCAAGGCGTTCTTCCCACAGCTGTGCTTTTATCTCTGTGGCCACAGATCTCAGGCAGCTGCAGTGACTTAAGCTTCTGACCCCAGTCTAGGGCAACTTGTAGGCCTAAGGCAAAAAGAAGACCCTACAAAGAAACCATTCTTGCTTTAGCGTGTTGACACAGGAACAAATCCAGGAGATGATGTTGACCCTGCTGCATTTCAGCAAGTTGGAATTCCCCTATTAATCACATACCTGACTGCACTATGATCCCACTGTCTGTGTCGCTGGCCTCATCCTTACTCTTACTCTTCATGGCCACGCTCTGGATGCTGGAGGGAGGTGGTGTGACCACACCTAGAAAGTGCTGTAATAGCGTCTGCTAACAGAAACAAGACAAAAACAGAGTGTACTTTACAGACATACTCTCCTGTGCCATATCTACAAAAGCACCCTTCATTTCTCCTCATACAATACCTCTAAACAGAGTACGATATCCAGGTGGTACGAAGACCCTGTGTCACTACAGGAGCCACCCGTCCCTACAGTATCTTCTTAGTTGTTTCCCGCTGCAAAATTTGGCCACCAAAGAAGAGCATGTGGGCAAAGAGCAAAGAAAGGACTGAGGAAGGGCTAGAAACAGGCTTTCCAAGATTGCCACAGCAGTTGTCAGAACCAGAACCTGCAAGAGCGAACTGGAGCTCTCCAACTGTACAGACAGGGTGATCAAACGAGCATCCAGCCTGCTGTTTGGACTGTTGCAGGGACAGGCTAGTGCGATGGCATGGTGTCTCTGCTGGAGTGAACTAATCCACCCCCAGAGTCTTTCTACCCACACCTTTCTGCCTCCTGTCAAGGGGCTTCTACTTTTCTGTGTGGGCAGGATTATTCTACTTTAATTCATCTCCAGCATGAGTGACTGCTGAGAATGGACCAAAGGATGCCTTCCTCTTGTAATCTGCCAATACCATGATGTGGCTTAATAAGAGAGCTGCCTCATGATACAGGCAAATGTGTGGAAGCGTTTAATTTCCAAAGGCAGCACAAGGAGGTTGCCTTTGGAAAGCCAGACCTGTGCTCCTGCCTGCCTGCCTGCCTGCCTGCCTGTGGCTTGGCTTTTTAAAAGGGATACGTGAAGCAGTGGCAGTGGGAAGGGGAGAAATAAGGGAGATTTTTGTTTGCTTTTTTGTTTTACTGGGTCTTCGAAAGAAAAGCAAACAAAAATCCCCCTCATTGCCCCCTGCTGTAGGGTCACTTGAGGTCCATATCCTCTTTGGATGTGAAGACTGCACCAAATGGCATACACTGCCTCCCAGCCACCCTATTTAGCCTGTTCCAGCCTGCTCTAAAATGGGTATGTAGACAAGCTCAGGGGCTGTACACCAAACTCCTGCATTAACTGGGCCTTCAGCAAACCTAGGCCTTGCAGTCCAACCTGGCTAATCAATCTATCAATCTATCAATCAAGTCAGCAAAAACAGGAAAGAGTGGTCAGTAAAGAAAAAAGACTTGAGCCAGCAAAGGTTGTGCAAGATTAAAAGTCAGCTCCAAACTGGTTCACCCTGATGTCAGCTTAACTACCTCCTTTGAAGGGAATGATTTTTAACATTCTGGTTTATTAGCAAAGCATCATGAAAAAAGGAGGACAAGCTTCTGTGCAGAAAGAGGTAGGTGTTCATTCAAATTAACCTCTCTGTAAAGTGACAGCCCTCTATAAATCTATTGCACCTGTAGTATGCAGTCAAAGCAAATTGCAGATTTGAATAACCCGTTTCCAATGCAGCTGAATGTGCTATAGATAATATCTAATAATGACACAACATTTATAAAGTGCTCTTCAAAGTGTTCAGATTAGTTCAGGAATGGCAGAATGAATCGGGTCAGTATCAGACATGCATATAGAAGACAAGGGTAGGGATGATTTAAATATTCAGAGTAAGTGCCTTACCTAATGCCACCAAATGTAGAAGCGAGATCTTGAGAAAGTTAATTTTTGAACTTCAGCTGCTAGAATCTCTCAGCTAACATGGGCATGGTGACTAGGGAAATCCTAGGAATTGTAGTCTCCCCACCACCACCACCAAAAAGAAATCCAAACTCTTAATGAATTTGCAGCTCAGTCCCTCAGCCACTAATCTCCACCCAATTTCTTTTATAATAAACAAGACCAGAAAGCAAATTTCTGGCTTGAAGAACATTTGCAGGAAAGCAGGAACCAATCTGCTCTTCGACCTGAGGATCATGTCTTGCAAGCCCCATGTAAGCTGTAAAGAAAATAAAATGTTATCTGTCACAGTTAACTGCACTTTGCTGTAGTTCCAAATGGAAAACTGATAGGTAATTTTGGCTCTCTGACATAGTTTTACATAGTCTCTCTCCAGCTCTGTTATAACGCCATTTACTGTACTTAATCATCATTTCTCCTTCTCTTTCTCCCCTGCTAGACTAAAAGAAGAACTGAGTGAGCATCAGGATGAAGCAAACAGGTCACTGCCACTGCCAATGCTATAAAGCTCACTGATGCTAGGAATAATATTCCCACCCAAGCTTTAGTGTCAAAAGGACAGACAGTGGTTCAAGGTGCCATTGCTCAAGATGCCAGGGTGTGCCACCCAGAGGACGTTAAATTGTTTGGTAGAGACAATCCTTCTGGCTTTCCTTACAGAAAGAGGTGGCCCCAAACATCCTGCCTGCAGCAGCTCTGCCTGTGTTTGCACAGCACTTCCCTGCCCTTACTTAAGTGAGTCAATCTAAAAGTCATGCTGAGTTTTGTCTAGAGCTAATCCTGGGACTGCCAGTCTCCTGGGCTTGGTGGACAGTATTTATTGCGCTGGTGCCAAGTGCAGATGTGCTATAGAGCCCGGGGCGATGTTGCTGGGACCTGTCTGGGTTACTGTTCAGTCCAAAAAGGCAAAAGAAGCTGTGGGTGTGAGCTTGTCTTTCTTGCTTTGGATGCTAAATTCACTCATAAAACTGAGACAGGGGTATGGCTGTGGTTACTGAGTGTACTTTCCCCAGAACTATACAGTCTCATAATTGTGCTGTTTATGCTTTTTGGGGCTTGGATCAGGAACCTCATTAAGAGGCAGGGCACCTTAGGCATCCCCAGCTAGAGATTAAAATAATTATGTGCTGTCAAGATGTTTCCAACTTATGGCAATTGTCATAGGGGTTTATTTAGGTTTAAAGTATTTGGAGGTGATTTACCAATCCAGTCCCTGCTTGTGATAGATTCTGCAGTTTTTCCAAGATTGCATAGGTTAGGTGGACACAAAAGCCCATCAGCCACATGTGCTCCAGGTGATCTCAGTTGGCCCCTATCCCTGGAGGTGTTGTGAGGATTCGAACTGTCAGCCCCAGGCTCCGCAATCAGGCATTCCAACTCAATGAACGACACCACAGCCCATAATCCTCCTAAGTTGTGATTTGGTCAGCTGACACGGGAGAACCAATTGACTCAGAAAACAGTAGATAATCAGACTTTTTTCTACCTCACAAAATGAAAATAAAACAAGAGAACCTCATACACTGCCTTAAGCTCACTGGAGAAAAGACAGGATGAAAATGCAACTAATAAATAGTGGCAAGAATCCTTACTTGCATCAGTGTAAATGCACTGGTGTAAATCTCAGCCAAAGATTGACACTAGCTGTGGGGTCGCTGCTTGTCACATGTCAATCTCATGAATAGAATATACACAGTGAATCCTTAACTAGCAACAACTTGTCACTGCGATTTACATTGTTGCACTTCCACTGCGATAAGTAAGCAAAGCAGTTCTGGCCAATAAGAGCAACGGGCAGTGGGAAAGGCCATTCAGTTTTCACTGCTTTACCAATCTGCCTGCAGCCCACCTCTGGCCTGTCTGCTGTAGTCTGCCCGCTCCAAGTTACCTGTCTGCCCTTTGGCTTGAATGCTTAGGTAATGGTTTACTAATTCCATGCCGGGAACTAATAAATGTTAAGCCCTTCATATCTTTGGGTCTCCATTCCACCATCTTCCGAGGTGAAAGACCTGGAATGTTGTCCATAGGTAGGGCATGGAAGTATAAACAGACCAAGGAAGCTTCTGGGGAGTTGAAGGCCCCATCACACGTGATACTTGATTGGTAAACAGCTATAGAGAAAGCATCATGAATTAAAGAAACTTCAGATTAGAGATATTTTTTTCCTGGCACATGTGTGATCTCTAATGAATCAGTGTTCCTGTTGTATTTACAGTTACAACAACCCCTCTTAATATCATTCCATCACCTCTCTTAGGTGCTTGCTTTGCACACAAGCAATAATGTTTCAGCCAGGGACTACCAACCCACAGAACGTGCTCTTACTCATTACACTTTGTCAGCTGTTTGAGTCAAAGAAACTGTGATGTACTTACAACTGTGATGTAATTCTAAGAGGCAGGGAGAAGCTGTGTTAGTGTGCTGCAACAGAAACAACAGTTTCGTAGCACCGTCAAATGTAACAAGCTCCATTTGCCACAAGCTTTTGTGGACTATAGCTCATGAGGCTACAGCCCACCAAGGAACTAGATTGCTAACATGCACTGGATTATGGAGAAAGCCAGAGAGTTCCAGAAAAATATCTACGTCTGCTTCATTGACTACGCAAAAGCCTTTGACTATGTGGACCACAGCAAACTATGGCAAGTTCTTAAAGAAATGGAAGTGCCTGGCCACCTTATCGATCTCCTGAGAAATCTATATGTGGGACAGGAAGCAACAGTTAGAACTTGATATGGAACAACTGATTGGTTCAAAATTGGGAAAGGAGTACGACAAGGCTGTATATTGTCCCCCGGCTTATTTAACTTATATGCAGAATACATCATGCAAAAGGCTGGATTGGAGGAATCCCAAACTGGAATTAAGATTGCCAGAAGAAATATCAACAACCTCAGATATGCAGATGATACCACCCTGATGGCAGAAACTGAGGAGGGATTTTAAAAAATCTTAATGAGGGTGAAAGAGGAGAGCGCAAAAAGGTTCTGAAGCTCAACATAAAAAAAAAAAACTAAGATCGTGGCCACTGGTCCCATTACCTCCTGGCAAATAGAAGGGGAAGATATGGAGGCAGTGACATATTTTACTTTCTTGGGCTCCATGATCACTGCAGATGGTGACAGCAGCCACGAAATTAAAAGCCGCCTGCTTTTTTGGAGGAAAGCAATGAAAAACCTAGACAGCATCTTAAAAAGCAGGGACATCACCTTGCCGACAAAGGTCCACATAGTCAAAGCTATGGTTTTTCCAGTAGCGATGTATGGAAGTGAGAGCTGGACCATAAAGAAGGCTGACCGCTGAAGAATTGATGCTTTGTGGTGCAGGAGGAGACTCAAGAGTCCCCTGGACTGCAAGGAGAACAAACTTATCCATTT